GAAAACTATGAGAAGGTGCATTAGTGAGCCCTTTATATACATGCTCAATTTCGAAAATTTTCTAAAATGCCGAAGGGCATGGTCAAAATACGAAAGAAACTCCAAAGACTTTCTTAACAACCCAATAGATGTGGGGTAATGAGAACAGCTGAGAACTTGTCACATTGAAAACATGACAGGCAGGGAGCAACTCTGTCGACTGGTATCCTGTTGACTTGATTCAGCTGCAAGGCCACAAGGCAGGACTGAGACCAGCATTCCATCGCTTCAGAGATACTCTGCCTGTGCACATCATGGGTACACATCATTTTGACCATTCAAAATTTCCAATGGGAACTACTAGTTACTTGTGGCAACAAATTGAGAATGTGCTCATGAGAAAGGCTGGGAATGAGAATAAATGAAATTCCTGGTTTGATGGCTATAGTGTAGAAAATACATTTTCAAAAAGCTCCAGCTTCCTCTGGAGTGAGGTAAGTTCCACAGTAACTCACATAAATGAACCCTGCCTTCATATACAAGATCACAATTTTTAAATCCCGTGTTCCTGTAGAGTCACCTTCTCCCAGCCCGCATGAAAACATTTGTGATATCCACAAACAACAGCATAAAAACATCATCAAGTATTTTGATCTTTTGAATGACAGTCAATCGACTGTCACTAAAAGGGTTAATACATACGTATGTTATGTTAATGGGATATGGTATGGGTTAATAGATGAAGTAGCTAACATCTATTCATATTGTACCACATTATCTATGTGCAAGTTCTATATTTAAATGTAAAGTATTCATTCAAATGCTGTTTAGAGGAAACTGAAGCTCTTGTTTTAATAAAGTTCAGCTTTACCTTCAGCATCAACACCAAGCTCTACAAGCCCAGTACAAACCGTGTGTCTGTTTGCAATCATGGACATTGCTCAAACTCCAGCACCAGTATTAATAGAAAGAGCTCACCTCATAACTTGACAGCAGTGGATGAAAGCATCCCATTGCATCCATTGATATCATGAGTGCCATTAGACAGATTTCAATGAGTCAAAAAATTGCCCATGGGCTCAACCCAATTGGTGCAAGAAGTCAAAAGTCATAGGTAAAAAAGCTATATGAAATGAAATGACAGCATTTATGCGATTTGGCATATACTCAAAACAAATAAGTTCCACAAAACTGGAGTGAGAAATGCTGAAATTCTAAAATAGTCTAAATTGCCACTGCAGTGACACCCTTGGTGAGCATTAAAATTGTTAAATAAAAAGTTTATATAAACTCTTGGGAAGGAAAAAGTGCTCACCTCAATGGCCTGTATGCAAGAACCTATCACTTGATAGCCTATTACATGGTAGCTATCATGTGAGGTATCAGGCGATAAGTCTATTATTTGCTTAGTTCCGTATACAAGAACAAATTATAGGTATCCATTGTGAGGCCTATTATGATAGGTATTTTATACCTATCATGATAGGTAATTGTGAATCTTCCTGATGACAACCACCTATCCATCGTCTCCTGCCCAGGAACAATGCCATATGTATCTGCTCACGTGACTGACCAAGGTGTTGTGCGATGATTAACAATATTAATCTGACCCCATTTACCAACCAGTGCTCGAGTTCTGACTGCTATGGCTTGATACAAAGAATTCTACTGGATTTAATCTATCTCGGATTAACTGCACTCAGCACAAGTTGCAACAGTTCACATAATTAATTGGGTTAATAAGATGCACTGCAATCCACCCTGGTAGTACTTGTTATAAGCTCATTATATGCAGAATAAACAAGCTCTGGATCATAATAGATTGAAGCGATTCTTATATCTGTCATGATACCCAATCATGATAGGTATAACATGTTTCTGCATATGGCCAACCTATGAAACTAATCATATGATACCCCCAAATATAGCAACGTTATTGGTTTTATATGTTCTTGCAGACCAGTCACTGTAGTTGTTATTTCCTGGATGATAAAAATAATAAACTCTAAAAATAAAACTCTTAAACTAAACTCTAACAATAAAATAATAAACTCTAAAAATAAATGCAGAAGAGTATGCCAGAGAATATGATTAGCTTCCGACTCATAAATCTTGACCTCCTGACTAATTGGATCAACTTTTACATGCTGCTACTTTTGATCCATCTCTTAATGACAATGATGCCAGTAGCCATAATTGAACAGCCTGGCATGTGTTTTAGGCATGCCCCTTGCCATTAAAAATCTGCTTATTTGTAGGGCCTAATCATTAAAAGGCATCAAGCCATAGATCCATATTGTTTTAATACAGCAAATTTGGCATTGAATTCAGCTAAACTTACTATTCGCCATAATTACCTGCTTTAAGAGATTTTTCAGCCCATGATGAAGGCTACTGCATCATTACAGTTGCTCTCTAGCAGCACAACTGTTGCTTTATTAGATTTTGTTAGAGGTGACATGTCACCTCATTGGTCACCAAAAGAACTCAGTTCAATTGGATGTTCTTGGAATTAATTTTTTAATATGAATATCAACAGAATCTGCATTTTTAACAATGATCTTCTAGGGCAATTTTGGCAAACTACTAAGGGATAACCCTTATGGGCATAATCACCTCTGCATAGCTCTTCCCAAACCTTGATACCTTGATTTAAATAAATACTCAACCACTGACCCAAGCTGGAGTCATTCTCTGCAGACTCTTTCCTCAAAACCAATAACTTTTCCCCTTAAAAAATAAAATCAGCCACTTTCAAACTGCAGAGGTACCATAAAACAGTCAACTCGTAAGGATGGTCTTATGATTTTCCATGATATCTTCCTATTAACACCAAATGAAGGATTTAGCTTCCCTGTGTTAGGTGTGAGGGAACATGTATGAGTATAAATTATAGCAGATAATTGGAAAACAAATCCTCCTCTTCAGACTTTCTTTTAATTTACTTATTGAGAGGGCCATAAACATCCATATCACATATGACTTTTCTACATTTGCATACCCAAGAAAAGCAAAGAGAAATAAATAAACAGTGTATATAACTGGTGTGGCAGAATAAATGGCAAGGTCAGCATTCATTTAATATACAGTCAATTTATGGTTTCTTACACTTGAACTTTTTTCACAAATTCACCATTCCATTCTTTAAAAAATCACGCATTTTCGTTTTTACTTGTGCAAATAATAACCACCATTCTTCAACATGCGAGTTAAGCAAGCAGTCCAAGTAGGACAACTTTCTAATACAATTTCAGGCTGAATTCGCTTCACAGACTGTTTTAGTTCACCAAGTCATCGCCAAAGACCTCACTGCCATATTTGAGGGCCACTGGAAGCACTTCACGCATATATTGGGTATGATAGACCGACCCTTTCTTTAAGATGACTTATTCACCATTCAAATCCCAGAAGATTTTTGTGAGACATTATTTTTCGCATTTAGAAAGAACAAGATTTTGGAGGTCTTTACTTGTCATTATCTGAAGAAGAAATGATGCAAGCACATGTGAAATAAAAGAAACTGCTTTGGAGGGAATTGAATATTTGAAAATTGAGTTCAAGCCTATGTGACAAATGCATTTCAAATATTTATTCTCTGAGTTATGTGATTTGACATTCAAAATCATGCCCACCAAACCATATAACAGAACTTAGACACAAATATGAATCGCCCCCACTACAGCTCTGATAGTAATCCAAAAGGATTCCTGTGCGCTGAGACTGTTAGAATAATATGTCCAAAAGTGGTAGTAGTGACTTGAATTAACTAATTATTTATTTATTTATTAATGGTGCTGAAACAAGAGTCGAACCATGTCCACCCATTGTAACCAACCAACAGTCTCAAAGATTGCAGGTTTCTTTTGGGAAGAACAAAAGACATTAAAAAAATTTAGTGATTAATGACAGTGAGCCTTTTTGTCTTGTTAGGATTCAACTGATTGTATGAGAAACAAATGCTACACAAAATACAATAATTTAATTTGGTGTGAATATTTATAACCAACCCTATAATTTATGAGAGTTTGAGAAAATTGTTGACAGATATAATAAAATCTTACCTGTACAAAGAATAATGAATGGACCAGCAAAGTTAGACATGTGGAAGAACAATTCTCTTGAAAAAAGCAAGATATTGGAAAGAGATTTTAGGAAAATAAAAAGGGAATAGAATCCACCAAACCTAGACAGTATTCAGCAGCATGCGTGAAAGACCTTAGTGGAGCATTGATGAAGGACATGGAATGGGCAACATTAACACGTTGACGACCAGCCTATTTTTTGCTCGTCCGCCGCATGGGACCACGTGCATTTTTTTTGCCAAAAAATGCGTCCTGCAATCAGGACGCATGGTCCCAGAAAACATTTTTTTTTCCGAGTTTTTTTTAAATGTTGAATTTTTTGGAATTTTTATCAGTAATTACTAAATCATAATCTTCTGGAATGTTCTCAACAGTTCCAGAGGGTATTCATTGAAAATGAAATCTGCATCCTGGCATCAGGACGCATTGTCGCCAACGTGTTAAAAGTCTTTCTACACTTTGTCTCCTTACTCATCTGAAATATCCAGTACAGAAGGACATGAAGCTCATACAATATTGTATGGAGATACAAAAGTGAACTGGAACCCTTTTTTCTTGAGATGCAGTGTACATTGGATACAATGTCATTGGGTGAACCAGGAAAAGAAGGAAATGGAAGAAGGAAGGAGATCTGAATTAAGTTGGAATTTTAAGTCTTAATGGTTCAAGCACGATGGCTGCACTGCACTGAACATTGACTTCACTGAGATTTGGAATTCCTTATGATAAGTAGGTCTCCTCACTCAGCATAGGAATCTTTCAGTGCAATAAGGAGCTTAATTCATTTTCACAGGAAGGAAACTTCATTTTGATGCACTGCACTTTTAAATGAAATGATGCAGAAATGAAGAAATGTTATACAGAGACTTAAATGAATACCACATCCTCTTATGTTCAATCAAGGAGAACTGTGCTACAGAACTTTATGGATGCTTTACAGGTGGAGATCAAAGTATAATGACCATCCCTTCTCAAGCTTACACCAGCACATCTGCTTCTGTTCAAATTCTTGTGAGTTCTCCTCTCTGATTAAGTATTGGGGTAGACTCTACCAGGTGCTTTTTTGCCACATGTATAAGAAGAGGGTTGGGGTGAGGGGGAAGTTGAAAATGATATCCACTTCTTCATCTGCCGTGCCTGAATCTCAAAAACCACAGAATTGGTGCTCATGACTGTTGTAGGAAAGATCATGATGCCTACATGCTGGGGAAAGTCAGTAATCCCAAACAGGTTGCCAGTGTTGGGAAATGTAACATCCCATTATTTCTATTCAAGTAAGTCAGGCATGGATATTGTAATGCAGAATATTTTCGTGAGGTACACTCTTTTTTTTTTAAAACTTGCTTTGAAGTCCTTTGTCACATGTATTCATTGTTTGCATGTATCACCATTGTGTTATTTGCATGATTCACTGCTTAAATGCTAAAATTTAGAGAAAGCATCACTTTCGTTTTAATTTTCACTGTCAGTCCCTCTTTGGACCTTCTCATATTTGCATCAAAACATGGACTGCATCTTAATTTAGCTTCCTAAGTGTCTTATTATTATAGTAATTCAAGAGTCATTTCATGCCATGATATTCTTGCAATTTATTTCATATTGGAGCAGAGGCAGCCACCCCCATTCCCTCCAGATTGGTGCCAGTTGGTGGACCCTTCCTTGCCTCAGCCCCAAGTTTCTGCATTCATTTCCGGTTCTGGTGAGCTTACCCTTTCTTGCAGGCAATCAGATGCTTGCTGATATCCTTTTCTTTGTTCCACACCAAGTCAAGATAATGCACGACCATCCTGTAACAGTTCTTGATAGGTATCTGTCATTCCATTTAGGTGACATCTATCTTGCTTGCTTTATCCAATATTCTCCACAATTATTGAGTGAATTAGTGTACTGAGCATGGTAATATTGTCTAAAAGACTTCATGTGAAGAAATGGCAATGCCATAATGCAGTTATTAATAGTCAATATTGTTCAATTCAATGTTGATACCTTTTATTGTCATTGTCAAATTTTATGTTGGTGTAAACTGAGACACTGACTTTTTTTTATGTCAAGACTCATTTTCCTGAAACAGTAATGAACCATATGACACCCTGTACACATTTGGAGACAGAAGAGGCATATATCTGCAAATCAAGGATAGACATGTTGTGTGGGAAACAGTGAAAGGAGATTTTCAAGTTGCTCCTTACCATTTTTCACAGTCTGCTTCCAGTCTCTTTTCAAAAAATCATACTTTACTTTCACACTCTCTCAATGTTGCCAAGAAGGTATGAAAAGGCTTGTGAACAAATCTTTTCATTCTCCTTGCATAAACTCTGGTCATAAGAATCTGGTTCTCATGCTCCCCATCCCATAATTTTCTTCCAACTGGTATGAGTCCAATTTTCAGGGTTATTAAGACTCAAATTACAGTATTGCATCATGACATGCTTGGAATGTTATTACTTAGAAAGAAGTGTCACACTACCTAACTGGTAATGTCTTGACTCACCTAATATTCTGAAGATTATGAAATCTCTTACAGCTTGAGTTGCACCTGAAATCAGGGTGAATATTATATGCAATACCTGTTAGCATGAACATCTACATCAGTAGTTCTCAACCCCCCTTTTATTCTCATAGAACATCCATGTGTTCAGTGTGCCGCAGCACACCGGTTGAGAACCACTGATCTACATCACAACTTGTACAGTTTATTCAAATGGGGAAAGTTACTTTTATCTGTTTCCTGTAGAGACTATGTTGAAAAAGCATCATTGGTAGAAATAGTGTGGATCCTTTTTTTTAAGCAGTAATGCACATAAGTTTTTATTCACTGAGAGGAGTAGATTTTCCCTCTGATTAAGTGAACTTACTCTCATTTCCTAATTATGTGAATTCTGTGCGTTACTGACCTGCTTAAGCCATGGTAGGTCTTGTACTAAGGATTAACTCAATCTGAGGATTTTTTCTCTTCCCATCCCTACCGCTGTTCTCTTTGGCCAATGCTTTCTCAGGTTTCACTAGGAGCAGATTTCTATGCTAGGGTATTCTGTTTCTTCCTGTGTGCAGAGTATGATACAAGCAATGATCTTTTTGAAAGAAACTCAAGTCAAATTTTAACTAGCATATTAATATTAGACCTTATACAAGATGATGTGAAAAACAAGCATCCCGATTGATTCCCTGTTTGAAACATTAGATTCATAATTTTTTGTATGATTGTAAAAAAAAAACTTGAAAACTTCATCCTTAACAAGTCTGAAGTGTTGGGGTTGTTTTGTATAAAAAAGGAATTTACTTTCAGCAGAAAATTCAGCTTTTCTTTTAAATATTGTGCTGTAGCAGTTTCATCTCTGTTCTTCAAATGGCTCTCTTTTTCCTTGCCTGTTTTCTTAGCTTGACAATCTTGACTGTGTGGTGTTTCCATGCCAAAACTGAGGAAAAAAAGACATTGCTGTGATATATGTGTATTTTTGAAGAGAAACAACAGTCTGTGGTTCATATCACTCTGAAGTAATCATCTTCTCTCACTGGCCCTTCCCATTAAGACATTTTGACCGTTCATTTTTCAGCTGTGATGTGACTGCTAGGTACCATTAGGAACATAATACCAATGATGTAGCATGGAGGAAATGTCCAATTTTCTTAAACCTTAAATCCTTAGCCCAAGCCCCAAGTTTGTCTGGCCCTTTGGGGCTCCCATCTCTCTCACTCCCTGTAAAGAAGAAGGACCCCTAAGTTCTAAGGGACTCAGAAATCCTGCTAATTTTATCTTTTCCAAGAGTGGATACTCCACTGCTCTTTTTTGGGGTTGAGAAAAAAGTAAGTGGCTGATTCGGCCATGGAATCCATGTCATTCAACCTGACAGGCTGCATGAAGTGATTGCTATAATGGACATGGCATGACTGGAAACAATGTGGTAGGGTTGTAGTTCATCCAGAGGAAGCAAGCACCTTTTTTTCAGTGCTGCTCCCTTGATGTGCATAAAATTTTGTCAATTCTGCAGGTGTGAAAGTGCAGTGGACAGTGGCCCCAGGAGTGAATCTCAGCACTGTTGCTTCCTATGAAATCTTCAGTTATCATGAAGCAATCAATGATCCAGGTCCTTCTCCATGGACACGCCTTGGAGATGTGACCTCACTCATCCTTCCCATGAGTGTGACCCTTGAAAAGGTATCCCTGTTTGACATTTTATTTTTCTCTCCCTTGGGGAAAACTTAGTCTGGTTCTGCTTATTCAGATGCTGAAAGGGAAGACGTATCACTTTATAGTGAGGGCCATGAATGCCCTTCGCCAACCTGGTCCGCTGAGCAAGGCTGCTACCTTAACTGTACCTTGAATATCATCTTGTCAGTGATGCAGTTGGAATTTGGGGATTACAACATATTGCAATACTTTGTGCCTGCTAGGAAGTGATTTTGAACTGAAAAGTACATTGATAGTTTTTGCATGCATGTCTCATTCTTGTGAATCCTAACTGAGACTAAAAAGATAAACTTGATCTCATTTTCTTGAATTGTTTTGATGTGTTCAGCACTCAACTTGCATTCCACAACTCAACTCTCATCCATTTGCTTCAATTTCCTCCAATACATAATATTTTGAATGCTAATTCCAAAAATCTACAAATGTGACTCCTTGATTATTGATAAGTAGACAACATGAGAACTAATGTAGATGAAGCCAAGGGAAGTGACAACAGTCACAGTGTGTCATATTTGTTGTCAACCTAAAAGAGTCTCTAATTACTACACACTTTCCAAGTCCACATTCATGATGTCCATGCTGTCAGTGTATCAAACCACCATAAGTTCATGTGAAGCATTTGATTTATTTCATAGGAACAATTTAGTTTAGTGGGGAAAATATGAATGTTTATTTTTCATCTACTTAGCCCCCCATTTTTCTGTTGGCCTTAACAGCATCAAGAATATGCCACCTAAACTAAAATATGTCTCTTCACTGGATCAAAGAAATGAGCAAAGAAAGTCAGAATACATATTGAGAAATTTGAAGAAAAAAAGACAAGTTTACTTGATGACATTGAGAGCCTCATCCCAAGTGACAGGTTCCAAAGCCAAGATCCGAACAGAAGGGGCTGGAAAAGATGCTTTCTGACTGGGACGTGCTTGGAAGTAGATTTTGAATCTTTCCATTAAGTAATCCCACTTCATCTGGGTCCTTTGGCTTTCCTCCATCAGCAGAAATCCTTCCACCTGACAAAAACAGTCATGTGACATGACCCTTGACTATTTCCATTTAGAAAATGAATACCCTTCAGTTGGCATGTACAAGACACCTCCCCCTCCCATGGGAATTTCTTGCTTTGCCAAGCATGGGAGAGAAAAGGTAAAACACTAGGCCACATTTGAGAAATTTATAGAAACTGCACCTTCACACCAGTGATACTTTCTGCAACAGAGGGAGTCAGGCGACAATTATTGAGAGTTCCACTTGGGTCAGTCAGAGACATCTGAAAACTGTAGAAAGGATGGAAAGTGTCAAGTGTTGCACCACATTCCTGGTTGGAGCAGTCTTCATCTCCAGAACGATTGATATTCCCACACAGTGAACTGAAACACAAAAATGTTCAGAGGCAAGATGGCATGATTTGAGCATTTCAAGTGATGTCCAATGAGGGGCAATAATACACCTTTCATACAAGAAGGTTGACAGTTTATATGAACCAATCCAAAGGCTCCTTTCTGGTGAAGATGTAAATGGATGAATGATTCTAAGAAAGCGCAATGAAGTCTATTATGGCTGAGCAGAACATATACCTTCTATTTATCCAAGTTGTGGATATTTTATGGAATCACTTTTTCACATTGGTCTCCTAATTGTCTAAATACAGTTAACATCGATGTACCCCTTGTTCAGGGATTTGTTGATAACACGAGAATACTGCCCAACAAAATGCAGAGATTCAGACCCATGATTTCTTCATGGTCCCAAACAGTTAGGCACCCTGAGAGGTATCAAACAGTTTGAAACTCATTAAGGGTCCAGAAAAGGAATCCCAGAATAATTCATTATGGGAGTGCCATTAAAATGTGCTATAAATAGTATGGAAAGTCAAGCCATCTGAAACCATTCCTTTTTTTCTTCTTCATCTTTAGTAAAGAAAAAGGTTTGACTACATAAATTCAGAATCTATTGATCATTTTCCACACGGAGAATTCATGTAGACCTAGGATTTTGCAATAGAAAAAAAAAGAAGTTATGACTGTCAGTAATGTACAAACACCATCAATGGAGAATAATAAAATGACAATAGTGAAAGAATCCCATGGGCAGAAGTTAATATTGCTATTTGAGGAACATTTTATTTCTGATACAGCAGAATATCAGGAATTTCTTACCACTTATAAAGAACCAATGAGACAGGCCCATCAAGGTCAAAGTGACTGATGAGAGCATAAAGGATCCCTGAAACTTCCAATCCAGACTCCAGTTCTTTCTTCACCTCTGCCACATTTCCATAAATGGTGGTGATCCCAGAAATAGCTGATCAGGAAAAAAAATTTCCTGGTCATTCTGACATTGAAGCAACGAAAGTGAGATGGTAGAAAGACCTGTACCATCAGGGAGAGTCCTCTCTTCATCATTAGTGGTGAGCTTCAGGGCTCCAGTGCTAATGAATCCCTCAAGTTGCTGGGCCTCTCTGCACTCAGGGTTGAAGGTAACAACAGTTCGGGAGGATGTGGCTGCTGTGACTGAATTGCGATAGGAGTCCCACTTCACAGTTGCATCACTTACATACACCACTGTGAAAAAGGAGCAGATTACACTGTGAAAGGGGACAATAATTGTTTGGGAGCAATGGTTAAATTTGGAAAATGAAATAAAGTGTAAGGTGTGATCAAAGTTCATTCCAATAGGCATTTCCATGGAGGGGGAAAAAAGCCATCACAATGGAAGGAACAGAAGCAGCTAATGACATTTTCTTACCCTTTCCCAGCTATGGGCATATGCTATATGTCCACTGCTTGAAGGAGATACTACCATTAGTCTAAAATGTAGTAAGTAAATAAATCAAGTCAAACAATTGACAATTTATTAATTCATAACCTTCACTACAAGGGTGGGTAATTCAGAGTAATATCACCTTTCATGAAACTGAAAACAGCATGAAATAAACTTAGCATAGGGGGTAATAAGTCAAAATTAAACTTGGCAGCTAAACTAAGAAAAAACATTTTAAAACATGGCAGCCAACTTTTAAACAACTGGGCAGGCTATTCAACTATTGAGACCAGAAATAAACCCTGCAGTGCAATAACTTTTGTACCAATAATCACTCGGAAACTAGTGAGAGTTTCTAAAATAAAAAAGACAGAATGCTAAGAGAAAACATGCCAACAGGGAGCTGATCTTTCCACTTGAGAGTCAGAATAATGGTCTCTCGATCCCAGAGAGTGAATGCAATGCCTGTTGTGGGCAAGGACACATCAACCAGTCTCATTTCACACCTCATGCGGGGCTCACCCATACTTCCAGTGAAGTCCTTCACATCTCCAATCTACAAAAGAACTACAGAGAATCATCCTGTAAAACTCATGAAGAGACAGAGAAGAAAGGACATACTTTGCGGACAACAGCAAGCATATTAGTGACGTAAGGGGCGTGAGAGGATTCCACCTTGCGGACGAGGTCAAAGAGGGGGAGGAATTCGGAAGGAGGTCGGGTTGGGAGACGGAAGAGAGGGATGAATGGTGACCAGTCACCAGAATAACAACCAAGGGTTGTGTGACCCTCAACCAGGTTCAAGTGAAATGGACTGTCCAGTATGGATTGATAAAGGTGCAAGTGCAAAAATTTAGCAGGAAAAGAGGGTAGAAAATGAAGTATCACTCACTTTGTTGTGAAGGGCTCATATTGATCCCTGTTGTCAAAAGCACTTCGAAGCTGAATCTCTGCATTGAAGATTTCAACTGCACAAAGCATGACAGCAGTATGCAAATTCATGGAACTTCAAAGTAGATCAAATAAGAGAGAAAAGATCAGGCTCTCAGTAAATGTAACCCAGTAATGCATTTTCCTCATATATAGCTATTTTAGCACATCCAGGTTTTCTTGCTAAACGAAGTAATCGTGGGATTTCATAAGTCTCAGCAAGGTTAAGGAGCTTCTCATGGAGCACCAGTACAATGAAAGGAAAAATTCCCAAGAGGAAAAATTCTTCACACTTAACTGTCATTTGTAGCTAAGAGACTCATTCTTAGGTGAAGAGGAAGCATGCCTAAAAGAACAGCAAGCTCATATATGGAAGGAAGCACATATTCAAAAATCTCATTCTTTTGTAAAGGAACCCTAACTCTCCAAGAATGACAGATTTCTAACAGGGAAACTTGCTCCCCACCCTGGGTGGGGAGACATCAAACAAAGATATCAAACAGGTACACCTAGCAGCAAGATGGGAGCATTATCAGCAATTATCCTATATCATTTGTATGAAACAAACCACTGCAGTGAAGCTACAGTGGCAAAACAAATCCCCCACATCCCAAATTGCAAATATGCTGTGTTGACATTAAGCCTTGGGCAAAAACTCACTCTTGTACCAATAAAAAGAAGTGGATATGCATAATACATTAAATGCAAAATACCACAAGAAATATGATATCAACAAAAATCCCATCCAGCCTGCCTTTCTGCAATCATGTCCTCATGAAATATCCTCTCCTTATGCTGAGCAATAAATATGTGCACTTTTCTGAACTAAATCTAGATGCCATAATGATGAACAAATTAGTCTAATTAATATGCATGCATCAGTGTCTCACTTCATGTTGCTGCAAGTTCCAACAAACACCTTAGCACAAAAAACTAAGCACTACAGAAGAGCTGTGACACTCAGTTTAAACCAGCAGCTCATCCTCCAATTCTGCTCATTAGCTAACAGGAGACTTTTGATCAGCATCAGGTGAAGAATGTAAGCAACACAGGATAAATGTCCAGAAAATATTTAATTTTTAGCCAGGGAACTGATTGCTATTATGACCAGATGAGAGAGAACATGTGCATGATCAACATGATCATGCCACGTCTGTGATCTACAGTGGAAAGTAACTGCCCTTGATGCAAGAGGTTAGAGGCTAGACCAGAAAACAGGAATAGAATAAATCTAATTGTCATCTAATATCTTAAAAACAAGCATGCAATAATTTCATTGACACATGTAGGTTTCTGAAGTTCTAAATCCAACACATTACAGCTTCTAAATGAAGGCAAAATAATTTTGGTGGCTTTGTGACCTCATATGCAGCCATATATTAAGTCATTTTCTCCCTCTTCAATGTCAACTGACCGACATCACCAATGTGGAAAAGATCATTGAGATCATGGACCATGGACTTGGGACCCCAGCATGACACATTCACGACATCCACCTCAGAATCCCTGATGGTAAACTTCAGAACTGTCCTCTCTGTATCATCATCTATAGCAGATGGAATCTTATCTCAAGAGAGAACTCTTGCAAGATCACCCTTTTTGAATGCATTCTATCCACTCACCTCGACCCTTAGATTTATGCTTCTTGAGCAGGACAGTCCTAGGCTCCTGCTTTGCTACAACAAGAGCAACTACAAGAGTTTGGGCCAATCCAAGAGACAACTCAGCCAGAGTGATTCTGTTCTCCATTTTCAAAATGACTTCTTATGAACAGAGAGCAATTGAATACACAGAACCTGAAAAACATGGACAACACTAGGTGCTTAACCATTGAGCAATGGTGGGAGTGTTATATAAACATGGCATCGGCCCCTCTGAAGTGGGAATTCTGGAAAAGTTTCATTTATCAAGGGCTATATTTTCCCATAGACCAAATTACTATGGGAAGAATTAGGGACTCTGGCTAGCAAGCAGGTTGTCCAAGTTGGAATGCAACCAGCAGCATGAGGTTTCCTTCTGGATCAATAGCTCACCTGGCTACTTTCTGGTACTATCTACTCTCCCTTGTGCTAAGGCATATTTTAATCAATGCTTCAGGATGTGAGAAGTAGGATCTTGGTGCACCTGTCATATTGGTCCAGGTAACCCAATGCACCTACCCTACTGGCACAGAATGTTGCAATATTTCCCAATGTTGCAAGTTGCTTCAACATTCAATGCCAATTTTCACCTTAGATTGCTACTAATACAGATAGTACATGATACTGAATCAACACAGAGTGAAAACATAGATGTCAATTCAATGTTTTGTGCTACCTTGGAAACCACTTCAACAGATTATTGCAACAGTTCCTATCAGCATATACCATTGACTTTGGGAAGCTGACATATTTGAATGCAACTTCAATTCAATGTAGAACATCATGTAACAATTTGCATTTATAGAGTGAAACATTATGGTGCGAGAATGTCAAGATACTCAACTTGCCAATGAGGAAACGTTGAACACACAATTACAAACACGGCATGAATGGTACAGTAGGAGAAACACCCCCTCCCCCCAGGTAAATTATGAAAGTACAGACTTTACTATTTGTGGGCTCCTGACTTGAAACTGAAAAAGCTCTTATAGAATAAAATGAAAATCATCAAATATCAAGAAAATGTATGCTGTATTGAGGAATTACAGAATTCACATAACAAAGTGAGGTAAACATTTGAGGTGCTAACCCCCCCATTTAATGAATGAGGCTCTAGTCATCAGTTTTGTATTTAACCAGGATGCAAAAAATCTGGTTTTAGAAAATGATTTTGCTTCAGAGACTTTCCATGTCTGAGTTCAAGGTTCCAATTCATCAAAGACATATTAAAGATGCTGATACATTGCCATGCAATGCGGTGTGAAATATGCACCAAGTGTCAGCACACATTTTTTTGGTTTATTGGGTCCTTGAGAGTTTAGAGTTCCTTTCTATGACATGAACCAGGGACCATGGACCCAATCTTCATCCAAATACAACATTGGGGAAGACATAGTAATTCCTTAATACAGCCATCCAAAGAGTTAACCCAGCCTAGAGAGACTCCAGGCAATTTTGGCTCACAGGATGAAGGATAGTTCAGTAGTTTCTTTTGCCTCTAGGGTTGCCACCATTGAAATTAGCAAAATATGGATATATGGTATGTGGACATATGGACATATGGAAAAATATAAGAATACTTGCATTTGTGGTTCTGCTGCAAATACCTACCGCCACCTTCAGCCAAAGTACCAATTGATGCTATGAGTGTGGCATACTACTCTGGCTCGAAGAAAACTGGTTTTAACTGCTATTAAGTTTTATTAACGAAAAAATCTTAAGTTTAAAGTATGGATGAAGTAGCGTCCATATTAAGACAAGTTTGCAGTATGGACATTACATTTGAAATATGAACTGTCCATACTAATTATGAACGGGTGGCAACCCAAGTGGCCTCCTTCCATGGGTTGGGATAACGCGAGGGCTTGGATCCCACTTTGCTGAGAATGAAAAACATATCTTCTTGCGCAGGTCATGTTAGGCCCCTCGTGTGACAGCAGATTGGGACGGGAAAGAAAGACTGCATCTGCGATCGTAATGGATACTCCATGGGCACACTCATGATTCTTTCCTGCATTACGAAAAACCAGATGTATTATTGAAGAACTCGCAATGGATCTTTATCCCATGCAGGAAGTTTCACCCTCATGAGACAACAGAATGATGCTATTTTAACACTAGTAAAGTTTACATTTCGGATATTTAAATGTTGAAGCAACAATGCCAACTATTAAAATAAGACCCTCGGTTTTATAACGAACCCTGATTATACATATACTGATAAAATGAACGAAAAACCGGTTATACCGAAATCCTTGACGTTTTCTGTTGGAGTGTCCATAGACACCCAGACAAAAAAAATATTCGGATATAAATAAAATTCCGATAAAACGAAAGAATTTCTGAATCTCCAGCGATTAAGTACGCAGGATATATCAATACTAGTAAATAATTTTCCCGTCCGGGAAGAAACGTTTTTTCTACTTCTTCACGGGCATGAACAAGGGTCAGTCCATATTTCTATTCAGCCCTTCACCTCGGTCTTCAGCTGCACGGCCTATGAAACCAAGGATTTGGCGCGAACAGAATGCGCGTGATAGAAGGAATGTGAATGTGGGTGAATGCACGCGTGTGGCGGGGGATGTGAACACGGGCGATGCAAGTGAATGAAGCGTTATGGTGCCCGCGCTCAGCAGCTTTTCGCTGGGCTCCCTTTTGCATCACGTGCGAGTTTCATTTTACAAGGCTTCGGGAGATCCATGCCCTTTACGCGGCAGAGGCTTTTACACATTTAACCCTTTCGCTGCGTAATTGATTTTAGCACGCAGTCAATGGCAATGTTACAGGAAGCAACTTAAGTCGCTTTTTGCAGCAAAAGGGTTAAGTCGTCGGTTGCCAACACATTTCCCGACGCTTTAATCGCGGTGCCACGTGACCCACCAGCGGATATGTGGCAGCAAAGGTGTTAAAGTACTGTCGCCCATTAAACCCCCAAAAGCCGTCGAGTAGTAGTACCCACAGGATATTAATCAAGTATACACAGACATAATGGATTCAGTTCTCTAATTGGATGAACGACTATCTCCTGATATAACGAAATAATTCCGGCTACTTCATCAACTTCGTTATAACGATAGTCGACTGCACTATGAGAGAAGCACGAGAATTTCTCGGGTATACCAGTGAGTGGGTTAAAGTTAAATTTGCTGTCACTGCCCTCAAGACCAGAAAAAGCAGGATACAGGGATGACTATGCGCATTCAGCTGTGTGACAATGCCATTGAGGATGACTGGTAGATCAAACTTTCCTCCACCTAGTGTTCAGCCACTTAGTGTTCTTGATCTTAATTGTGTGCTCCTATCTCAGTCCACACAAAACAAGGCATTCTTCCATCAAAGAACTGAAGAATGAAAATAATGTTTTTCAAACATCTATAAGTTCCTCTGAATCAGAGCATGAGCAGTAGAGTGATATAGGACCATTGCTCAGGAAGGAAGGAGAGAGAGAGAGAGAGAGAGAGAGAGTGCTCAAGGACTACATTCATTAAACATCATATTCAAACTAACAGGAAATGGTGACAAGACAGTGAATGAAAGGTACATACCCACGGATTTCAAACATATCTTCACAAAGACATGGATGCTAATACCAGGTAATGCCTGCAGAGCATACAGATTAACTTCTCTCTAGCAGCCAACTGCTGTTTCAATACAAAATTAACCTAGCATAGTGTTTCTCATTGACTTTAGTACTAGCTGCACACTAGCAGCAAAGTATTTTGTCTCAAAATAATCAATATTTATTGCATAAGATTTCCTCCTGCCATCTCATCATAGGAAATGTATGAAAGATTATGGCACATGTTCATATCTTTTGGAGAAAGATGTGAAGCATTTCACAGTTAGCATTCAGTCAAGTGTTGAATCTCACTAAAATACACAGTAACAACCTCTTAGACATGACTCATCTACACAATTAAACACTACCTCATTCAAGCAAGCACCATACCAGTAGAAACTTCTATGCAAGAGACATTTACAGCTTTTACAAAGATCAGAAAATTTTGCATCTCCACCATATTTCTTCAGGCCATGTCATTTGAATGCTACATGGAATTAATCACTTGTGGAGATGTAAGAGAAACTGTGAATTTATTCTATCACTACTTACAAGATGTGCATGGAGGGAAAAAAGGGCCATCTCAAGGCGATATACAGGATGACAGACAAAGAATATCCAAAAGACTACATTTCCTATCTGATGATTTCTCCCAGACTATTGTCATTCACATTCATGGCACCAGACTGCAAGAACAATGCAGTGACTTAGGCATCTTGGCAAAAGTGCCATTCCTCTGTCATCTTTGAAAGACTAAAACACAATACACTGCCAAAGAATTTCTCTTCAAATGGTTCAAAAGCAATAAAATGGAAATGGTGAGGAAGCCATGACATGATCATAACAGAGAATTAGGAGTCAGGTGCTCGCTAAAAAACTGCTCCACCTACCAGAATCTTAAAAGCAAGACTAACCAACACCACACCACAGCATGCACCAATCATTCAATATATGCAACTAAGCTATATGTGATGAATATCTTAAACCTCTACCTACAATATCACAAAAATGTTAATAGCCATAGTAATTGTCGCCTGTGCTCATCATCAGTTGACTCGATATTGAATCTGATGTCCAGGTAGATTGAGTTGGGTGATTCTGCCCAATGTCCGTAGAATGTCCAGAAGCTGAAGCCCTCGTTTGCCAGGGGGGAAATGCTTTAAATCCATCAGCTCTTTGCTTGTCAAGAACACACAACCTAAAAAGAGAGCACATGAATGTCCATTGTCTCCCTCAGAATTGAATTTGACTTCTTTGGGATTGAAATTATGAGTCACTGAAGGCCAGAAGCCTAAGGAACATGCATCCTCCTTCACACTCCAAAAACAAATTCACAGAAGGCCTTCCAAATTGTGGAAAGAAATAATGCATTTGATTCAATAGCAAGCCCCCATCAGCATAGGTAATGCATGCTGCCCTACCTGCATCTGACAGACACAAGGTACAATCCAAAAAAAAAAAACAACAAAAATAACATTAGATGCATAGCCATTCACCATAATAAAGGAACTCAAAAGCCAAAATATATTATTTTCCATGTTCTTGAGCTAAACACATGCTATCTTATGTTATTAGCCATATTTGGGGTTAAAAATTATCCCAAACATAAGTTTTAACAATAGTTCAACAAAATCAGACTCACCTTTATTCAACTCTTGAAGCTGATTCATTCGTTCCCTTACAAGTGCATCTGGGCCCTTGACAGTTCCCTTGGGTTTATTGATGAGTTCATACTTGGACTTGAGGGACATGTTAAAGGAATCAGCTGCTGCTTGCACTACACTGAGGCTAAGCCTTCCAAACAGGCACCTTCAAGACAAGATTAGTATGCAAAATATAGTATCCAAAACAGATGCAATTTCAAAGTGTCTCTGAAGAACTCCCAAAACTCACTTGTTGACTTTTTCATATTCTTCCTCAGAAACAGGATCAATGAACTTGTATGGATGTCTCAACCTCTTCCTCTTTGGGCCAGCAGCATTTTCATTCTGCCAAAAATGTATTATAAGCTACATCATCGGTACTAATCAGTGCCAATAAAACAAGCTGGGCAAGCTTAGTGCAGCAGTAACAGGTTGTCTTCCTCAAAATATAAGTCTTACTTAACCAATTCATTAAACCAAATACAAACACATTTTCATTCACAGATAGCAAAACTCATTTCTTGCCTAATTTAAACACAAATTGAGAAACACTTGATGATAGTGGCAAGAGGATGGTACTTTATGAACAAATAAGGAAGTGTGAGATGACTTCATTATTTTCTCTCAATACAAATAGAAAATTTCTAGTCTTTTTAAAATTTTCTTTTAAGTAAGAACATCTAAAAGAATGAACTCAGCTTGAATCTTGCACATTTTTACTCACACAAAGTTGACAAAAATTTTGAAAATGATTTGAAAATTGCATTTCTCTATAGCACAGCTCTCTTTTTGCCATGTGATTAATTATCCATTATTTGAGAGGGCACTGGGATGTGGTAAACAATGCATTTGCATTATCACATTTAAAAATAAAACAATCCCATCTCCCAAGCATACTGCTGGAAGTCCCTGTTAGAAGACTTACTCTTAAACCAGCATTGAATCATAAAAATCATTGAAAGATGTACAGTAAAAAAAAAAACTCAAGAATGAAAAACATACAACAGGAAAAACCAGAGAGTGAAGTAAGGATGCAAGCTATGGTATAGAGCAGAGCAAAACAAAAAAAGTATGTCCACAGGGGGATTCTGATTATCAGACCTTTTCACTCCCTGAGGCATGGGAAAAACCCTACCCCATCCTTGTGGATCACTGAATTTTCATTTCAGAATTGTGAATAATCAATTTTCTCACAAAAAATTACTGAACTTATTGATGGGAGGGGAGTCAAACCAACAAGCACAAGGGGAAAGACTAACTGCTATGTTTTCCAAAAATACTGAGCATAAATTTTTATGAATTGAGTATATCTGATACTTGAAACAAAAATAAACATGGAACTAGGAGCTTTAAAGTCACTACAAATGACATCATTTAAAAAATAGAATAAAATAACCTAAATATGGATAACTGGATTATGATTTAGTGAATGACAATTTTAATCTGCTCGCGTTAACCAGTCAACCCTACTCATGCGTATTCACAATGTAATGCTAAATGATGAAGAAAGAATTCTTTAGTCACCTGTGCATGATCTTGTCCATTGCTTTGATAATCAGGTACACCTACTGGTGCAGATGTCTCCTTTGTTGCCTTCAAGCATGAAGAAGAACTGACATTTTTTGCTGCCTTCTCCCTACAATATAGAAACAAGCATAACATGATGCAGTGGAGAAGACATGTGAGCCTGCTCTACTTGAGTCCACTAGAATATAGCATTTATAAATACTTTACCTAATTTAAGTAAGTACAAGATAGCAATGAAAAAAAGGAAGAACACTCACTTAATATGTTGCTGGCAAACTTCTGGTAAGTTGTCAATATAAGCCAATGTTGATTCTTCAACAGCTCTCAGCTCCTATAAAAATCAGGCAATAAGCACAATTAGCATTACAAGCAAATGTTGCAGACTGAGGCAGATGGCTGAAAGAATTGTAAGAATGAGGCTGCATTAGAAAATACTTGGTTTTAGGCCTAAATTGCTTTCCAACTGAGTTATGGCATCTGCACATCAGAAATAACAACTTTTTTTTACTCCTATAGTAATGCAAGTTGAAACCTACTTTTTTCTCATTTCAAAACTTTCTAACTTTTCCACTCAAGCTGCTGTAGACCTAGCACTCAAAATACAGAAGCTAATATAAGGGCATTAAAAACACAGAGTTCATCATAGGCCTAACCAATCCTACATGAATTGACATGATCCACTTGCCTCCACATCGTTAGCTTTCTTTTGATATTCTTGCCACTTCTCTCTTAAGTCATTATGCATTTTCTCGAGGCCCCCGAGCATATCTTTCAACGTGGCACTGATGGCTATATCGCTCTCGGTCATCTGATTCACACCAGATTTGACGGTGCAATTCTGACGCGCACATATTTCTTTCCCGATGCGAGCAAACAGCTCAGCGTTGTCTTCATGTACCCCCTTCATTTGATTCGCAATCGCATTCAGACCTGGAATTAGACATTCGTGAATTAACCGCTCATACGGAGGGAGAAGAACTTTTCGGAATACGAAATACTTTTCTAGTTCGACACAGCCAACGTCGTTACCCACTGCAGCACCAACTGCTATGTGCCTGCTTTCGCATCGACCGCCATCCACCAGGGCAGAAGGACCTCTGCATTTCCCGCCGATTGGTAAATGGGCTGATGACGTCAGAGACCATCTAGTATGGCTGCATACTGGTGTGCAGTGGACACGTGAGTGGCAGTACTATCATTGCTTCTCGTCTGTTTGCTGTCTATCAGCGAGTGAACGAAAGAAGGAGTCGGCCAGATGGAATCTGAAAAGACAAGAGTAGAGGAAGTTGATAACTTCAAAGGTAGGTTATGTTTAGGCTGTCATCAGGCTCTGGCTGCCTTTCAGTGGCCTATTGGACAAAATCATAACGTTACGCTCTGCCCTTGAAATGCTGCACGCAGTGATTCCTGTGAAGTTTGATCCATCGAGTGAACACCATCACATTTTCTACGTCAAAGAACACAGAGTACGAGACTCCAATGAAGAGAAGCCAGTTGGTCGTACACTTTTCCTCTTGAATGTCCCCATGTTTTGTCAAGAGGTGAGCCATGTCGAACCCTTGTCAGACGGACTGCTTTAGAAATATTTGCTCTTTTGATGGTGACGGATTATTTTAATTACAGAAATATCTGAGGGCATTATTTGAAGATAGCGGCGAGATCTCAAATGTTTATCTGCAGGAAAAACCCAGTTCAGGTCCTGCTCCCAATCAAGAATCAGGCTGTTTCCAACAACCTCCCCTTCCTGTAAGAATCTTCATATCATATAATTTTTTAGAACTGTGATAGGCATTGGTCATCATACAGAATGGGTTCATTTCTGCATGACAGGGATTCAAGGTGGCTTATGTGGTCTTCAAAGTCAGGAAAGGATTACTGAAGGCATTAAACAAGAAATACAAGAAACCCAAATGCATAGCCCCAAAGAATGACATCATCCCTCTTGGAGTCCAAAGTCAGTAACCCCTTTATAATGTGATGTAAGGTTATAAAGGCTAAAGGAGCCCTGACTATACATTCAGTTGTTCATACTTTTTTCAGAATGGTGCAAACAGTACAATGAGAGGCTTTGTGGAGAGGAGGAGCTGGAGAAGGAAGTGAATACTTTCATGGAAGCATTTGAGAAAAGAGAGGCTGAGAGGATCAAGCAGGAGAGGGAGGCTGCTTCTAAGCCAGATGAGGAAGGTTGGATCACCGTGTCTCACAGGTATGTCACTTGTTATATGTTCATTCTAACTTGGATTCGATATCAGGTAAGTGTGAGTCATTTGATGATGGTTAATTGACTCTGCAGGGGTAGGAAACCTGGGGCTGTGAGAAGTGAAGCTTTTGTGAAGAAGATCCACGAAAAGGAAAAGGTGAAGCGGACACGCAAAGAACTTCTCAACTTCTACACTTTCCAAATTAGGGAATCCAAGATGAATGGTAAGAGAAAAAGTGAAATACATGAAATGTTCAAAATCATGTAAACCATGTGAAAGCTGACTCAGTGGAAAGCATTCATAGATATCCTGCTTGTTTTTGGGCATGTGCTCCTGGGCAGATGTATTTATTGCAAGAAAACCCTGTAGGAAGCAGATTTCGGACTTGGTTCATCCTTTGGCAGGGCACATAAAATAACTGATTCAGATGCTCCTGTTTGATTAAGCATTAAACACCAAATGCAAGACATAAGGCACTTATTTCCAAGTAGGTGAACAGGAATTTTGCTTGGGAGGTTGATCAGCCTTGCAATCTCCCAGTTACTGACCTAACCAATCGCCTTGACTGTTCAGTTGGAGATGGCAACATCTGTTTGGAGCAATGCTTTATATGCAGATGAAGGGTCCTTAGTTGAATGTGATGGACTTTTCTTGGACTTAGGACCTAGATGTATTCTTTTAGACCTCATTTTGCTAGTGCTTGTATACGGAATTCCAACAGGCAAATTTTTTTCATAGCCCTACAAGTACTCAGTACATAATATATAGCAGAGTATTCACTGGAATGCATTCTCTACAAAATGTGTCAACATTATGTGATTCACCATAAAGTTGTCAGAATTCATTGCATTAATAGCTTCTATGATACCATGGCTAACTTCAGACTTCTGTGAATCATTTGATTCACCATGAAGCAAATTTTAAGATGGATCTTTGTGTCTTTCTTGCAGAGGTGGCACGTTTGAAGGAGAAGTTTGAGGAGGACAAGAAAAGGATTGAGACCATGAGGAAGGCCAGGAAATTCAAACCATTCTGAGAATTGTACTGAAATGATGTCTCATTGGAATACAAATGAATTGTTTTATTTTATACAGAAAAACATTCATGGTTTCAGTCTCTCAATGACCATGTTAGTGAAGCGAGCAGCATCAGGTTTGAGATGTTTTGTCAGGCTCTTCAGTCCCTCAACAGCTTTCTCTGTGAGGAAAATGAAATGTTTCATGTAAAGAGAGAACAGAAGCAAGTGTCACATACACTGTATTGATAAGGGAACTTACCCCGTCTCCCTGCCATGGTGCCTGTCTGAGATGCAAACAATCCAACCTGTGCCACTCTCTCAACACATAATGAATACTCTTCAGAGTCACTCTGAATGAAGTACACTTTGGCAGTGCGGTTGAGATCATCCATCACATCCTGAAGCTCCTTGCTGGTCATGACATCCCCAGTCCCTGAGAGCAAGGTCTGCAGAATGCCATCATGCAAGCAGGAGTAAAGTTTCTTGGTTTCATCTACATCCACTCGATGTTCAGCATCCAGAGAATACTTCTCTGTAATCTCCTTCATTTCAGCATGATTGAGGAGAAGGGCTGCCTTTGCAGTCCACCTGTGACAATGCACAATAAATTGTCAGATCTGAAATTTTTTGTAAAATTTCTGTAGAAACAACAGGGATTGATGCAGTACCTAAGGAAGGAGATGACAGGGGCACTGGCTGGCATGGCAATGCTACCCTGGGGAAGAACTGACTTGAGAGGAGTTGTCAAAGCACAAAGGCAAATTCCTGGAGATTTCTCCATCCAGTCCACAAACACTCGGACCAGGAGTATTGGTGGGAGTTCACTTTCCATTTTTGCTTCCTTCCCTGGGAAATCCAGGCAATATATTAATGCTGTTGCTTAAAATGAACAAATTTAATTTGGGCAGGTATTGATCTTTAATAACAGCAAAAATGCTACAACATACCTCCACCAGCATAAAATGCACCAACTGAAGACATGAAATTGGCTGCAAAGTGTGGAGCATGGTGGTGGATGTCCCTGAGCCAAGATAACTTGGGTACAAGGAGGACATAGTCCTTGATGATCCTTTGAGTGACGCACAATGCTGACTCAGAGTCTGTTCCATGTTGCTATGTAGTTCCAATAAAAGAGCATGATTACAATCTGGCATAAGCTGTAGACAGGTTAATTACAGTAGTAAATTAACATTTTAGGTTGACTAAAGTAACTGAAAAATTCTCACCATATTCACAATGGATTCCTGAGAATGCATTTAACCAATGTTCTTATTCAAGTTCCAAGAAACAAAACAGACTTATGTGAAGAGTTGAGTGCTGTTAAATCACATGGCAGACACCATGAGATAGAAAACAACAAATAATTTGAGCTAGTTATGTTATTGTAAGATTTTCAGCTCTCATATGTACATGTATATTATTAAACTCCTGACATTTCTAAACAATATGGGTAGAGAATAAAGAGAGAGACCTGCATCCATACTCCCATGCACATGAGGACAGGGACATTCTGATTGGCAATGGCAAGAGCCAGGACCTTGGCAAGAATGTCCAGTTTCTCTCTATTCCCAGGATAGGAACTGGGAAGGAAGAGAGTGAGGAACACTGTATTCCTCAACATCTCATTCAATGGGAAGGCAAAGTAATTGTTCAACACATCCAGCAGCTGGAGCTCTTGTAGGGGATGCAGAGGCTGCCAAGACAATAGAATGCTATGATGATCAACATTCAATCCAATTCTAGAGAATGAACATCTTGTAGATTTCCTTCACTCACAGGCGCTGGTGCTCCTCGGGCATCAACCTGGCAGAAGATGAATTCAGCACAAAGGTCGGCCATGATCTGGTGATGCGAGTGGCCTCGGGTGGACGACCCCACTGTGCAAATGTTCTCTGTCCAGGAAAAAAGGATGCCAAAGAACCAATTGAAGATGCATGAATTTACAAGGAGAAGAGAGCTGACAAACAAAAACCCTCACGAATTTCCAATATGGCATCTCGTGCACATGCTGGGAAATCCAATGCACAAAGCCTCTCTCTGATGAGTTTTGATTGGTGCTGGGAAGCCATCATCTCTTTCCTTCCAACATATTTTATTACTGACAATTATTTGTCTTTTGAACTATTGTCTCTCTATAATCTGCATTAAAAGAGAATGCTCTTGGATATAGTGGGCTTCAGGGTACACCTCCTGCAAAAGGTGAGATATTACTCACTTTTGAAGGCTTACATTGAGAAAAAAAATAGAGCACTTGCAGATGGCACTTTCATTTGGTTAAAATTCCAGGTGGGTAATACACGACCTAATGAGTTGCTATGTGTTCACTAATGATAACACAATCTTGCAAATGATGAAATTGACAGATGAGAGGCCAAATGACTATCAGTAGTGCTATGTGAAGTCTTGGTCATTACCTTCTCATATTGATGATGCATTAATTTTTATTTGACTGAAACTGACTGTATTTTCTTTCAACATAGACCTGATGCTCCCTTAACCCTTTGAGTGGTGAGTTTTTTTTATGCACTCCTAGGATGTTTTGAATAAGAAAAAAATTCAGAGGTCCTTCAACAATAAACTGAATGTTTTTGTCCATAATGTGATGGGTAATTGTCTATTGTAGAGCGTGAAAGGCAACAAATGCAGTGAACTCAAACGGTTATTTACACAAAACATGAAACTGGACTTTTGTTAACATTTTGGAAAGGTATATTTACAGGCTTACCACTCAAAGGGTTTTAAAGGAGTTCATTGGATAGGGTAGCCTAGCAAAAAACATTGAGAGCAGGGATCCAATTAGGTACCAAGGACCCAGAGTCCCTAAATATCCAGGTAGAAAATTTAATTGGGTACCCATCTACCTCTGCATCTGATTCCTGGATATTGAGAGGGGTTTAAGAGGTGTCAATGAGAAGTTTATCCCAACTTGTGCTTTTACTTCATCAAGGAACTTTAAAGAAAAAGTATAATTAAAAAAAATACATAAAAAAGACTTTACTTTTTATTTTGGCATCTTACTAATCATGAGATGGCCCCTGTACCTGAGAATTCCCAATCACAATGATACAAGTCTTCTGTCCAGAATACTGCATCTGTGCTTTTAATGTAATTCCCTTATTTCTTCACCTTTGACAGATGGACTGCAAATACATTGCAGTGACTTATGCATCTATGCACAAGTTCTGTTCCTCTCCATTCTATTCATCTTTGAACAGGCTGCAAAACTTTCAAATTGGAAACTTTCCTTTAAAAGCATACCAAAAAATATGCAGGTATAAAAAAGTATAGAAAATATAAGCGATCAAAGCAAAAGCACAAGCCCAGCAGACAGCAGTCTCATAAAATAAAAGCCTTGTAATCATAAATTCATTTTAAAATGCTGCCTGTATTTCTTGTCTCATTCAAGGAATATTTAAATTTACTCCCATAACAGACTTGAGAAAATATAGGCCACTGGTATTGATGAAACACATTTGAAATTATCAGATTTGGGAACATGGTCAGATTGGTCATGGTCAAAACACCATGTAAATATCCTAATGATACCTCATGATGCCTCAACAACAAGGATATATTGAGTGGCACAAAAAAAAACACATCCTGTTTGATGCTTTATAAAACCCACTGTGGATAATCTAGGTTCATGATGTTTTTGCATCATATTGGAAACACCACAAAATATGTTTTCTGAAAGTTTCATGAACCTAGGTTGTGAGAATAAAAATTGACAGTTGTTCAAAGTGTAAAATGTACCTTTTTCATGCATGGGGTGGATGGTGTTTCAACACTGTTCAAATGATTTCTTTCCCTTGGCACCATAAATGCATCTTTTTATGCAAGTTCTCATTGTATTATGCCACATGATTGCCATGGACAATCAGGGCAACATCTAATATTCCTTGAATGAGACAAGTAATGGCTCATCATATAATCTGAGCTAGGCCTGAGATAAATAAGCCCATTTGGAAGATTAGCAGCATCAGGATCACAAGAAAGGCATCCCTATAAAAGAACTCTCTTGAGAAGCACCACACAGACTGTATCATAGGAATGAATCCTAACATGAGGAGCACTCTGTTTTTCAGCAACAGATTTTTGTATTCCTATTAGCAGAAGCTGTAAAAATCATACTTGCACATCCCCTCAGGATACTCTTTTCCCAATATACACACTTTGCATCCTTTCTGGTAACAAATTAAAGAGTCCCCATATGCAGACTGAAGTACACCTCACAGCAGTGAATTTTGACACTACAGCCAAACTCCTTAAAGTGCAAAGATTTCTTCCCAGCAATCTCTCTTCTGAAAATTGGAAAAACTTCACAACAAATTTCCTAATAATGGCCATACAGCCAATACAGCAAAAGATGAATGACCTCAACACATGGCTTGCTGGAAAAAAAAAAAAAAAAATTTTGCACAAACAGGACTTTGCCCAAGTGTTCCATTCAAAGTTAAAGAGCAGATCTCAATCTGAGTATCTGGGATGCTATAATGAGTCAGGTAAGGATGCAATCATGTGTGGATGTTGGGAGAGAGTACCTTGAAGGGATGTGTAGGTATGAAGTTTATAGCATTTACCTATAGGAAAATTGCATGCCTTGCTAAAAACTTACTGAATACCCCTCACAATAGAACTGTACAATCACAAGTCAAGCTGAGAGGATTGAAAGCTACACAATGTAGACATGGATCAGAGGTGCCTGTAGCATAAAGGGGGCAAAAAAAGGAATCACTTCCTGGCTTCTATTTCCACCATCACATTCAAAGGCTGGAAGAGAAGATTGGGGGAAGATCTTGCTTCCACTGGAACCTGTAAGTTCAGTTGCAAAGTGTGAGATGTTTTGCAAGCCCATGAATAATCCCTTGTATACCACAAAAAGGGATGACAGACCGGAGTTTGAGAACAGCGGGAGAACTTGATTTGACTGAGGACATGACACAAAGCCAACTTGATCTCCATCTGTGCAAATCGCATCCCAATACAGCTTCGAGGTCCCTGACCAAATGGAAGGTAAGTCATTGGGTGTTGCAACCCCTTCTCAGATTGGGCAAACCGTTCTGGGTGGAACTTCTCTGGCTCCTCAAAGAACTCAGGATCATGATGGATGGCATAAATGGGGAACCCAATGCGAACTCCCTTCTCAAACTTCACTCCATGGATCTCACATGCCTTTGTACAAGTTCGTTCAAGCCTAGAATCAAGTGGACATTTTTCATTCAGATAACATACTCATTAATCCTTTAACAAAATAGTGACATACCTAAGGGCTGGTGGATAGAGACGAAGGGATTCTTGAATCACTTGATCCAAATAGGGGCAATCAATCACCATCTCATGAGTTATTCCTCCCTGATTAGTAAATAAAATTTTCTTGTAATATACACTGGAGAATGGCAAAAAAATAGCCTCACCAAAAGTACATGTACTTCCAACCAAAAAATGAAAAAGGGACTAACATGTTGAGCTATTTTCTCCCTGATCTCAGCCACTGCCTTCTCCTGTGCTTCTGGATGTAGAGCCAGGTTGTAAGTGACCATGGTGAGGGTTGTGGCAGTTGTGTCATAGCCAGCCAGGAAAAATAAAACTGTCTGCTCATCAAAAAACAAAACGATTAAAGTGAGAATTTTTGTTTTGCATTTTTTTGGGGTTTATGATAAGCAGTGCTCATGGATATTGATGGACCTGTGCAATTATAACTTCCTCAGTGATCACAGGAGTCTTGGAAGGGTCAGTTTCACATTCCTTCTGCTCTTCTTCTTGTACATCCAACATCAGGTCAATCATATCTCCTCTCTCCCTCTACAGTTTATAAGCACAAAAGAGATGCAGAATTCATGATATTTTCAACTGGAATATACTCCAAGTGATCAAGTTGAGGAAATTTGGCTGCATCATAGCTATCCTTCCCCTCCCCTTTCTCTCTAAGTGTATTACATGGTACATCATCTTAAGCCTCATCATTCCTTCACATCAATATATTTTGGTAGGATGCAATTTAAGTTTTAAATCCCGCTATACAAAGAGGATCCACCCTAATCCCAAAGCTGGTCTAAACTGGCAATCTGCAGAAAGTGGCCATCGCCCACTTAACTGCTCTTAGCCCTTGTGATCTACACTTGCAATGCAGCAAATCTCAATATCACTTAAGCCCATGAGCAGGTCCATACTTTAAATCATCACTACCATGTGATTGCCATATATCAGATACTTGAAAGCAAAAGGCTTAAGCTTTTACAGCATACAAGTGTAAAGAGTAAATAAACTTCAATGCTAGAATGGACCAATCAAGAACAAACATTGTTTTCTGCCTTCCTCTTTTCGGCAATGCTCTTGGCCACCTCCAGAAAGAATCTCAATTCCTTCGTGAAGAATATGCCACTCAAGAGTTTTGGAATCCACCTAGAAATAACTGGTGAAAGGAGGATTAATTATATATGGTACTGCAAATTAGATGAAGGATGAGCTTAAAGATCATATGAACGTACAGAGGAGAGCTACCAGTGGAGACTGGTTCTTACGACTAGAGAAAGCCTTTCTGGCATTCTCAACAAAGGGATCATCTGGTGAGCCAAGAGAGTCAATCTTGGTCCCAAATGCACATGTGGCTACCACATCCATTGTAAAGGCCCCATATTGTCTGGAACAGGAAAGATGCTGAGTATAAGCTATATTCCTAATTCAACATCTGGGTTTCATTGGGATGCAATGTTGTCTTATCTTAACTTGTGAAACCAATAATTCCTTTTTTCCAGAATAGGACCATGTATTTTACTTCATTCTACTTTGGTCCCTGAATCCTCAAGAAGTACTTTGTCAATGAAGGAATGTAACATGTTATTTTAAAAAATGGCATTCATGTAATTTGTTATTATTTCCTATAACCCATGGCAGATGTAAAAAGTCTTTGCACAATGTAACAATTTCCAGTATAAGTTGTTTTCTCCATGAAGTGCTACTGCTGTGTTGTCATTACTATTTCCTTTGCTTCCTCTTCTCAGTTACGAAAAGCCAACCCAGGTAGCACACTCTGCTGGAATGCAGATGAGAAAAAGTCGAGTGTGCAGTTGTGAGAAAGAAGAGAAAATAGAAGTGAAGAACTGCTGTGGCTCAGCTGTGATCCAGCTTTGCTGGAAGTTGACCTGCCCTGCTGCACTGCAACAGAGCATACCCTTGTATATTTCCAGAACAGCTAGATCACAGCTGAGCTACAACAGTTCTTCACTTCTATTTTCTCTGCTGCTACTCAGCTGGAAGATGTGTGACATTCTCAGTTGAGACTTGACTAATTCTCTCCTCTTATTCTAAAGTTGCACACTCAGCTCTTTCCCAACTGCCTCCCCATAGAGAGTGCTCCCTGGGAAAACCCTTTACTTCCCCCTCCAGAGATAAAGACACTAAGGTTAAAGCCATCATTTGTGATTGAGTAATAAGAACTCTGTATTGATTATGTGCATTTAATAATGTAAGGGGTTCTCATTGGGAATATGAGCTTGTTTATCGCCTGGGCTCCATGATTTTGTCTGGAATATGGGGATAATAAATGATGAAATGTCAGATTTTTATTGATTGGTCAAATGAAACTAGAAATGACATATAATGAGGTACTAAACACTCCTGTGAGGGATGAGTCCATGGAAAGAGGGAAGTGCACTTTTGTGTACTTGGCAAAAAGTGAGATTCATCTACATCTAGTGGCATCTAGTAGAATTCGCCCAATGATGTAACCACGCAGACCAACTTGGTCTTTCCCAGTTGGAATGCAGTTGTCTCACAGCAGAGACACCCTAGTTGTCTGCAAGCTGTTGAATAGCAGCTGAACTTCAAAATGCAATAATCGCCTTTATTACTGCTGGAAGATCACAGCAGGAAAACACTTGGGACATTACTGAACTTCCTCAGGTGATTTGTCTCGGCTCCTTCCCAGTTGAACCCTTGCTGAAAATAACCAGTTTTATGGCAGCTGATGAGATGCTGTTGTATCCAAGCTGCAGGACAGTAGGATTACATACATATAGCTATTTTCTTGCCTGGACACTTTAATTCCAGCAGTGACACATCAGGAATTTAAGAGTTGTGTTCATTGGGAATGTCAATACTCCCTTGCATATGCTCATTTAGAAAGCATATCAGTAAAACATGCCATAAACTGGGTTCTGTTTTACATTTGTATCATTCCAAGTTCATGTTCTCTCAACCCTTTTGCTGCTAGCCCGAGTACATACTCCGGTTGCGCAAAACGCTTTCATGGTGGTAGCCCAAGTACGTACTTGGGCTCTGAAACCCAGTTCTTTTAGGTTGTTTTTTCTCTATTTACAGATGTAACTGACATACAGGGTGTCCCATATAGATAGAGCCCCCCTCCACAGTCCAAACCAAAAATGCTACACATATGTATGATATACCATTGAAATCCCCATGCAACTCATCCTTGACTTTTACAGGAAATCCTAGGTTGAAATGGAATATTCCTAATGGAATATTCCTATCTCCCTGAGATAGACAATTCTGAACTAATTTTTACAGATGACCCGGGTCAATTTATATGTTCCTAGCAATATGTGTTTACAGAAACCTCCTTGAACATGTAACAACAGAAACATACAGGTATACAACATCATTCAGGTATACATTTGCATCAAACCTTATTTTTAACACAGCTCTAAGTGAATATTCAAGGGTAAGACAAAGGAGAAACCTCTCTAGGTACATTTATTTTGGACTGATTTTAATGGGCATTACAATACAGCTTTCTAGTCAGTCTCTCTGGAAACTGATAAACTTTTTATCAACTCTGCTTTTGATAAAATCAAGTCTGTCTATGGGATCATTTCGAGATATGCATCTCAAAATGTGTGCACTTTTATGACAACACTCAGGCCATTCCTGGAAATTAATTTTTAAACATATTTTGGTCTATCATCAATAGTTTTCAAGATAGGACAATTTAAACTTAAACCATTCTTCGCAGAGATGCAACACAATTCTTATAACACAGTGGAGGTCGTGAGGGATTTTTTTTAAACAGTGAAAGGGTTAATGCTGTTGCAAAACCATGATGTCTTCTACTGAGGAAGCATGTCCCAGCAGTAAAATCATAGCTTACGAAAATTAATCAGAAAGAAAACTATTTTTTGCACTATAAACTTAGAATCATTCCTATTTTAGCCAATTGCTATTGAATTGAATATACAGTCTTTTTACAGCCATAGTCACTGACCAGGAGATATCATGAGAGAGGTATTCTTCAAAAGTGATTCATCACAGTTACACTTGCAGAAAGTGAGTTTTAATGAGTCTGACAGTAAAGGATTTCAATACAAAGACTTGCCCCATAAAGATGAACCCTCACTGTTCAAATCCATCCTAACACCCTAAATGTCCTAAAACGTACCATATTTCCATGATGGAAGAGGGATACAATATGCAAAACTTACTTCCCAAATGTTGCATGCCAAATCTCACTCTTTTCTTCCTTTATCACCCTAACAGGAAGTGATAATAAACTGTTCTTATTCCTTCATATACCTATAGCAATGCTGGAAAAGAAGAGCTTGGTTCTAGATGGAAAAGTTTACATACATGCATAATAGTAAGGGAAGCTGGAAGTAGGAGGAGGATGGGACATTGGATAGGGAAGGAGGTGGCTGCAAAGACCCATGAGGTCTGCATATAGACAGAAGTTCAAAATTTAGGAGACCTAGCTTTATAGGAGAGTTGAACTCACTGTTTCAGATCCACAACACCTGTTTTATGCTGAACACTCTCAAGGAAATTCCCCACAAGTGTATGAGCACATTCACCCATCAAGGCACTCATCTGAGGTAGGAAAAATAAATTTAATATGAAAACAACCTGACAACTGCAGCTACTTTGTGATCTTGAAGGGAAATTTCACCTTCTTTATCTTTCCGGAGGAGAAGGCAGGAGAGAGATGCCGACGGACCTCCTTCCATTCCTCTCCAATGAGAATTGATAGCATCTTCCTCCAATAGTGAGATGTAATGACAGGGTCCTTGAGAGTAAAAGTCTTAGTTCATAATCTCATCAATAAGACATAACCTTGAAAATAACTACAGTTGATGCTCAAAATAATGAACTTCTACAGTATATAACAAATTTTTTATCCTGTCCCTTTGAGTAAATTATATCAAGCCACCAACCTTTACATAACAAATTTGTTTAGTCTGTCCATTCGAGTTCATCATGTCAAGCATCAACTGTTTATTGAGATGTTTGAAAATTTTATCAGATGCATGTAAACCTCACCATTCTATCCACAAAGTAGTCAAAATTCTTGATGCATACATCTCGAAGGATGTCTAGGTCTGCACAAAGGAGATAGGGTCGAGTCCCTTCATAAAGCCTGCGGGTAAGTTCATTTTTCTTTAGTTGGAAATATAGCATATGTAGAGGTTTCAATAAAGAAATCTCACCCAATTCTCCGCCCATGAATCCTTATGTCCTTTGCATCCTCAATATGGTACATCTGTAAAATTCAGACAAATAACATGTATAACCAACTTAAAATGTGCTAAAGAAATTATAAGCATTGAGGGCACATACACATGGAAAAACAAAAGACATTATAAGAATGTGGAATCAGGTGCTTTTTACTTTATATCAAAGCTCTTCAGAAGAGCACTATTGTTGACCAATTCATTTATTGATGTGGAAGAACTCCAGACAAGGCTACTTGAATACTGCATTGATGAAAGCCACCTCATCTACAGGAAGAGATGAAGTGGTTGTGTGACATACCCTCAACATTGCTCTCCATTATATTTTAAAGGAAAATCAAAGTTGCTTGGAACTGGTGCAGCTGGCAGATATTGCTACAACATTGACCTTCTCTCAGCCAATTTAAAAAGTGAGGCAATACCATCATGGCATTGCTATGAAGTCATCTATCAATTCTAAAGGTTCAAACACTCTAAGCATGTCATTCACTCAGGGATAACTGGATGATCATAGACAAGAGGGCCTTTTCAAACTGCATTTCAACAGCCTCTGAAAACTAAAATATATTCAATGATGGACTGAAAAATACTGGTTTTCTGCTCATTTTCATTTGCCGGCAGGAAAAAAAGAATTTAAAAAGCATAAGTATTATTGGGCAAAAAAGCACAAAAAAAAGTTCAGAACTGAGAAGTACATGAGTCTCATGAAAGGTTCTTGATAACAGTAGATACAGTAATCCAAAGGAATTGTGCCATTTTGGGGAAAGATAATATTTTCTTAATCACATACAGGGTGGGCCAAAAGTTTTTGCCCCTGTATAAAAAGGTGAATATCTCCTAAACGGTTTGGGCTTCAGAGTAAAAAAAAAAACTGAAAGAAAGTTCATTTCATGCTCTTTCTGAAAATATATGGTTTTAGGTTCCTACATTCATTTGGAGATGAGTCATGGTCGTTAGAAAAAAAAAACATACCGAAAAAAAAGTTCCCAAAACGAACCTATACCGTGCCGCTTGCAGAAATCATCCTCAGCAGCAGGCTTCAAGGTCGCACGCGTCGTCGTTTTCTTCCTTCCTAATTGCTCCCTACCTTCTTTCCCTTCTTCATAATGTGAAGGATGAAAATTTGAAGACTTTGATGCTTGATTTGGATAACTGACCAGCAGAAGATCGTGGCAAAAGTTAAACGACCTCCGGTGGTCTACTCCGCGCGTTGTGCTGAGTGCTCGTCTTTGCAGTGTTAATTTTTTTTAATTTACCGTTTTTTACCGCTTATTCAGAAACCCTTACAGGGAAAATGGGTACAAACTGTGTTCTAACTGAGAGTGATAGAGTTTTAATCCGGTCGCTTCGTGTAGAAAAAGGATTTACCTTGAACCCAATATTGCGTGAATTTCCCCATCGAAAATGGAAAAAAAAAGACTGTGCGTTATATCTTGCGAAAACTGCGTGAAACTGACAGTGCTGAATGTCTTCCAGTCACAGGCCGTCCCAGAAGAGCAAGAACGCCAGAAAACATTGACGCTGTGACCAATTTTCCCTGTAAGGGTTTCTGAATAAGTGTTAAAAAAAAGGTAAAAAAAAAAATTAACACTGCAAAGACAAGCACTCAGCACAATGCGGAGTAGACCACCGGAGGTCGTTTAACTTTTGTCACGATCTTCAGCTGGTCGGTTATCTAAATCAAGCATCAAAGTCTTCAAATTTTCATCCTTCACATTATGAAGAAGGGAAAAAAGGTAGGGAGCAATTAGGAAGGAAGAAAACATCCTCAGCCAGCTGCTGAGGATGATTTCCGCGGGCAGCACGGTATAGGTTCGTTTTGGCAACTTTTTTTTCCGGTATGTTTTTTTCTAACGGCCATGACTCATCTCCAAATGAATGTAGGAACCTAAAACCATACATTTTCAAAAAGAAGATGAAATGAACTTTCTTTTAGTTCTTTTTTCGACTCTGTAGCCCAAACCGTTTAGGAGATATTCACATTTTTATACAGGGGCAAAAACTTTTGGCCCACCCTGTATAACATTATTATTCCTCCTTTGAGGTTTTTCTTCATTTCCGTCTGACATCTCATTGACAAGTCTACATGCATGCCACAAAAGAAACATACTAACCCTCTTCCAAACCTTCCACATGCTTCCTATGAATGGATACACAGGTGGCCTGGTCTTGATCCCCTGCTCCTCCCAGTAGTTGAATTTCTGTGTGTTCCAGCTATCAGAAGAGAAACATGGAGTCTATACAATTTAAACAGAATTTGCAGATCATACCAACTTATAACTTTAAAGAATAAAATAATTCCTTGAAGCCTGGAGCACTACATCAACAAAGTCAGAATTTAAAACTGACTGGCTTCCAGGCCAGCCTCACATCTAGTGGCACAATGAAGTCAAATCATTCAGATTAGGAGGAACAAACTCACACATAGAGGAACCCCAGCACAACAGCAAGTCCAACAAAAATAAGTGCGAGCATGATGTTCCATGGACCTTTGCAATAAACAACAGCAGGAACGTAAGTATTTGTAATCCAGTTCCTGGTTCCACACTAGCAACATGCACAATGGGCCATAAACCCCCCCACCTGTCAATTGCTTGGAAAAAATTAAAGAGAAGAAGCTACTCAGACTGAAATTTTTAGGTTAGCAAGAAGCAAAACATTTTATGCAGCTGAAGAGGACAGAGTGAAGATGCCTAAGTTTCCAAGGAAGTAATAAAATTATCTTCAAGGATATGTCCTCAAGATTCACTTGCTCATTGGGTTCAATAACCTCTAGGATAATGCCAGGTAGTTTTAAAAACTGATGTGTCTTAGAAATTAAGAAGATTTTGTTCTCAGCCTTTTTTATTTACTCTGCATCAGGGGTCAGGGGGAGGAAAAGTTCACGAACCCAGGTGATTCATCCAGGTGAATATTTTTTCTATAAAAAATTGTCAGATCATGGTCACCAACAACTTGGCATTTTCATTGCTAAATCAGGTCCAATGTAATTATGTAAAAAAAAATGTTATGCATCCTATCAACATTATTTAAATGATACAGAGGTAGGCTGCATCAGCAAGTGACTGCAATCCAGCAGTGATTCTGTGTCCCAGCACAAAACTTGCTCTCCTCACTGTCAGCAGTTTTCAAGAAATTCAGAATAGAGATGTAGAGGGTGAGTCAAAAGTCACTGGATGACTTTGAACAGCTATAACTCATCAAGGAAGGCATTAATTTGCTAATGGTATTTTGCACATGAAAGAATTGCATTAATTGATGAAACAACATGAAATTTGCATGAAATACCAATATGAAATTGAAGGAGCCTGTACAAAACCAAAAACAACATTTTACAAAACAAAAGTGATATTAAGGCTACAACAGATGCCCTATTTGCAATTATTTTCTGTTAATTCTTGCTGCTTTAAATGGTTTTCTGATAATGCTGATGAGCATTCTTTAGAGGGACGCCTTGCCATCACTAATTTATTCTTTATCTGTGAAAGAAATCTTTCTGAAGGGAAGCATTGTTTTGCTTTGAAGACAGGTGGATAGGCAGGGTTGGGCCTATTGAGTGGCCTTCCTGGTCGCTGGACCTGACTCCACTTGACTTCTGACTGTGGGGTTTCATTTAAAGACCAGGTATAACCCAAAAATTCATGCATGATCATTGAACTGAAGTAACACATAGCTGAGAAGATTTGCAAATTAATGCCTTCCTTGCTGAGTTATAGCTGTTCAAAGCCATTCTGTGACTTTTGACTCACCCTGTACTTGTAGAGTATTCTATTCATTTAATCACCAGGATAAAAAAATATGAAACACATGGAATGACTGGTCAACAACACTGCAAGCATGGTACCCTATTAGGTAAGTATGAAAACAAATACATGCATCAAAAACATAAATGATAAAATCCAAGGCATGATGCACAGCATAGAACAGTCACAAACCTATATCAATGCAAAATAACTTTTGCTAACCAGCAAGTTTTCTGCCTCATTCAGCGAACATTTGATATATATATATGTCCAATAGATCCACTTTCATGGAAGTGAGAAGCATGTGCATTTTATGGTTGCCTGAAAAGCTTTCTCAAGGTTTTATACTGGTAAATTATCAAGATTTGCATCTATCCTGAACTCTACTATAACTTTAATCTCAGCATTTATCTCTGCTGTGAGGGACTGTGATGAATAGATGTCAGAATCATATTTAAACAGAAACATTTCACTCATGATATGCCTCTCCTCTGAAGAAATGCTGACACAATTTTATTTAGCATGACTGGATGTGGCCATTGAGAATTCCTAGTCTGCACTGTAGACCCAGAGGAATAATTGGGCAACATGTAGGGTAGCATCCTGCTCTTCCTCCACCCTCCTCATTGCTTTCATTTTTATAGTGTTTGCATCAAGATTCACAGCATCCAGAGAAGTTACTTGTCAATTTTTCTCTTCTATTCAGGACATTCATCTGTAGCAATGAAGAATGACTTCTTAACAGGTTGACCTCCACAAGGCACACCGGTGTGCCTCACTGAATGGGAAAATCAATAGGCCAGCATTGCCATGGTGGTCAACGTGTTAATTAAAGAAGCAATCTGGGGAGGTACCCTAAAAGGTAAAACAGACAGAATATTGAGCGAATCAGGTGCTTGCAGTTGTTCTTCACATTAGCCTTTTCATCTTTCCACCTGTTATTTTGGACATTTGTTACTATGTTGAACCACCTTGTGCATTCAATGTTGATGACACAGCACTGGTACTGCTACTGGTTTTGAGATAATGAATAAAGAACACCAATGTGGATAACCAAAACTGCAGGCCTATATGAACTTGTTGAAAAGCACAAGAGAAATATATATTTTCATATTTCTGCATCAACAGTCTCGAGTCCATGTACTTCAAAATTCTGCAAATGGATTGAATTTAAATTCAATGAGTAACATTCAACAACTGAATTCGAATTTTAATCTCAAATACAGCATCCCAGAAAGTTGCATCATTATTTTAATCATGTCAGGAACAGAAAAGAGAGAACAAAGTGAAGATGCAGGTGGCCTTCATAACAATCACAATCATCCATGCACCTGGGATGTAACATCTGCCTCAATTTGAATTGACCATTTGTGAGATGTAAATAGGTATAGCTCTAAAATTGGCTCAAACCCAGGTTCAATCTGAAATATACCCTGAGACATATACATGCCCAAGATTGGCATCAAACTTGATGGCAGAGCTAACTTGGATGAATCTCTTGCTTTAAATGCCCCAGATCTCTACCAAGCTGGCCAATTCCATAGCAAAGTATCGAACAGTGATGAGGTGTGACAACAATTACTCTCTGAATGTGACAGAAAACAGATGATCACAATGGAGACTAGGAGGAAGACAATTTTACTTGCACATAAGCTTACCCACATGAGAATTCCATGAAGTTACAAATTAGAAATGACAATGCATGAGGGAAGCACCATGTTGCCTGGCCTCAGGATTAAGAAGATCATAAATAGAAGGAACTTCGGAAGTTGGAATCAATTATGTTCATTTATCTGGCATCTAATGTTACTCGTGCTGATTAGTCTCAAAGCTACAAAGCATAATGGCTAATGAATGTTTGGGCAGACCAAAACACAAGGGAAAGAAGGAATCACATCCTGGATTCTACTTTCACAATCACATCCAAAGGTCGGAGGAGAAGACTGGGAGAGGTTGTGAGTTTCACTGGAACCTGCAAATTTAGCTGCTAAGAATGAAATGATGCAAAACTAAAAAAAATTACAAGGGTTGCAAAAAAGGTATGACAAACCTGAGTTTGGGATGAGGATGAGAGCTTGAATTGACTGAGGACATGACAAAGAGCCAACTTGATCTCTGTCTGTGCAAATCGCATCCCAATGCAGTGCCGAGGGCCATGGCCAAATGGAAGGTAAGTCATTGGGTGCCGCAACCCCTTTTCAGACAGGGCAAAGCGTTCTGGATGAAACTCCTCTGGGTCCTCAAAGAACTCAGGGTCATGATGCATGGCATAAATGGGGAATCCAATTCGTACTCCCTTCTCAAACTTCACCCCATGGATCTCACAATCCTTTGTGCAGGTTCGTTCAATCCTGATGAGATATCAAATAGACATTTTTCATTCAGATAACATACTCATTAACCCTTTCACTGCCAAGCCCAAGTATTTTCATTTTCCAACTGGCCAGAAATACCATGTATGTCCATCAGTTATGTTAAGATATTACTCAGATACTAAACTGTATTCTATATTATACATTTTAGAAATAAAACAAAATTCAAGTATGACCCAAAAAACCAGTGTTCTCAGGGGACTGAAGCAATGATAAAATCCCAGCAAGGATGCTGTGCTATTCAAAACTCGGTGGTGAAAGGGTTAACAAAATAGTGGCATACCTAAGGGCTGGTGGGTAGAGACGAAGCGTTTCTTGGATTACTTGGTCCAAATAGGGACAATCATTCACCATCTCATGATTTATTCCTCCCTGATTAAGAAGTTAAACTTTCATGAACCTATGCATGCCAAGCATTTCCATATTCAAACAGAACTTTCCTTTCCACACCAATAAAAGGAAGTTTCCATACTGTTCAAATATGGCAACACTTGAATTTTTCCACATATATGCTATGTTCAAATATGGCAACATTCACATTTTTCTACTTTCATGCTCAGTTCAAATTTGGAAACATTTGGCATACAAAGGCTAAATTTACACAGAAATGGAAGAAAAAAGTATTGCTATGAAAATAAATACATGTCTCAAATATAAATAACTAACATGCTGAGCTGTCTTTTCCTTGATCTCAGCCACTGCCTTCTCCTGTGCATCTGGATTCAGAGCCAGATTGTATGTGGCCATGGTGAGGGTTGTGGACGTTGTGTCATAGCCGGCCAGGAAAAATAAAACTGTCTGCTCATCAAAGGCCAAAAGGACTTGGGTGAGAACTTTGCTCCATACCCTAACTTTAGACAATAATATTGGATATGAATGAACCTGTGCACTCATCACTTCCTCAGTGATGATAGGAATCTTGGTAGGGTCAGCTTCACATTCCTTCAGCTCCTCTTCTTCAAGGTCCAACATCAAGTCAATCATATCTCCTCTCTCTTTCTACAATTATGAAACTATTGTTCATGAAGTTAAAAAAAAATTACAAGCACTTCTTGATATTTTCAACAGGTTTTAATTTCAAAATATGTCTCAATATTTGTCTATAGATTCTCTTTCCTTATGCATCACTTGCTACATCACCCTAAACCTCTCAACTCCCTTTGATTTGCATATCTGTGCCCGTTGGACATAGACATGCTGTGAAGACAAGTACAGTGTACTTCCTACAGGCACATATATTGTACACCATGTGGGCAAAAGTGAACAAGTATGGGTCTTGCAAAACCCATAAATAGGATTGGACTTCCTTTGGCCAGGCTAGCAAAATTTATCCTTCAGCATACCAATGCCTGCAGGCCACATACCATGATTACAAAGGACAAACAGGGTGATCCATTTCAAAAGTTTCCCAATGAACGGCTATGTACAACACAAACTAATGGATGGAGGAAGGTGAAACTTGGCATGTAAACTACAGACAGCATGGGCTTCTCAAATGTGTGAAGAAAAGAGTGGCAGTATATGGTACCAACAATGCCTAATTTACATGTCCACGAACAGTAAAAAAGGTCTAAGTGTGACCATGGACAGTTGAAAGTCAACATGTTGGTGCTCACTACAAGAATTGAACCGATAAATAAGTTTTGCGAAAATGGAAGGAATGCAGAAGCCGTCTTGAGGTCATTGAGGTCACAACATGTGCCAAGGTCCATGCTCATGAACAGTATTGGGAAAACTTTTGGCAAACTTTGAAAAGACTGGATCTATGGCCAATATGCTGAGGAGAGTAGGCCATAGGGTTTCAAAAAGCAATTCTGATGCTTGTTTCTCACATTCTTAGAAGCCCATGCAACCAGTAGTTTACATGCCAAGTTTCAGCTTCCTCCATTCATTGGTTTGCATTGTACATGGCCATTCATTAGTAAACTTTTGAAATGAGTCACCCTGTAGATAGCCAGAACATCATTTTTCTCATTTGCAGGGTTGGCATATGCTTTTCTTCCCACCTGTTAATAATCCTACTTTTCACTGTAACAGCCCTAAAAATGTATTACATCATTGCATGAATACATTGAATCCAGCAATGACAAGACGCTTTCCCAACATTAAAGAAAAAAATATCTAGACATATGCTGCGAGAGCTAAAGAGAATGCCCACTACACAAATTGGGGAAATGGGGACCAGGTAACCTGCATGCACTCTGGAACCAAGTGGTTCCAGCTGCTTGCAGGTATAGGTATACAAAGGGTACAGGTTGCCATTCAAGCCAAAAGAGGTCCAACTCAATATGATAATGGATGATGCAGTGGGTGTTACAGAAATGATCTGTGCATAAGTAGATATTCACTTTTGTCCTCGAGAGTGTGTGTCTTCGATTCCCTTGAAAACCTGGGAATCAAATTATTAATAGCTAAAAGAGGCCTACTTACAAGCAGCAGAACATAAAATAACTATTCCATGCCAACTACATTGCTAAGTAGCTCATAGCCAGGTCCGAATAATGAAGTTCTCAAAATCATAATGTTCAGACAGATTATGCACCATCTAATTGCCATAACCAGAAATCCCAAATTGCAAGAGCATCACATTGTTGCATATCATCCTGCACCTGAGAGCGAACACATTCTAAAAGGACTACATCCTCCAAGCTTGCTGCTCCCATTGGGGATATCATGAAGCTGAAGATGTTTCCCATCATCAAAGCATTGCTTCACAGAAATTCACTAATTATATGGAAAAGATCACTCTCTTATTAGATTCACTGAATACCTTGAGAAAAAATTAAGATTTACTCAAGTTATCATCCAATAACATGCACACTATACAATGTCTCTTCCCCTGCTTTTCAATTCTGTGCTCTGAAAATGAAGAATTTTCAGATATGCCTGAAATAAGATGATGAAGAACCATACTTTTTTCTCTGCTTTCCTTTTCTTGATGATGCTCTTGCCCACCTCTAGAAAGAATTGAATTTCCTTTGTGAAGAATAGGCCATTTATGAGCTTTCGTAATCTCCTGGAAACAACTGGAAACATATCTCCATAAGCACTGCATTGTCAAAAAAAGAATACCTAGAAGAGTAGTATCAGGGGACACACAGAGGAAAAGGATCAATGGAGAGCGGCTCAGACGACTGGAGAAGGCTTTTTTCGCACTTTCAACAAAGGGATCATCTGGTGAGCCAAGGGAATCAATCTTGGTCCCAAAAGCACATGTGGCTATCACATCCATTGTAAAGGCTCCATAATGCCTGAATCATGGTAGATGCAGTTGTGGTTAATCTTTATACTCAATATCTGAGTTTCAATTAAATGCCACTGGAAATCAGCTTCTGAAACCATTACTTCCATTTTCAAAGAAGGATAATGTTCATCCTACTTCTGACTATACATCCCACCTCATAAGACCTTTGTCACTAAATGTCAGCAACTGTGTCTACCTAAGATTGACTGAAACAGAGGATATTCAAAACCAGAAACATCTTGTGCAAGAAGAAGGTAATTAAAAATATAACTTTAAAAATTCAAAGACTGGAATTTAAAGCTTCATACTGAATGAAGTATGGTGCCATGGAAAAAAATTCAGGCTCTCTACAATTGGATAATCTTTGTATCAGAGGGGCCCAGAGGGTGGTCTTCGGGCTGCACATGACCCATAGAGTGAGTGCTTCTATGCAGCCCACAAGGAAATATGGGGGGGAAAAAAATATAAAAATACTGGAGATTAAGGAAAAGACAAAAGGAAGAAGCAGTGATGCATAGAGGGAGTGTATTCTACACTCCCACCCCACCCCCCCCTCCCCTCATATAGGAGCAGGGGACATATATTTGAAGTCAGAAAATGTTCCACTTAGCACTTTTGCTCAGTATTCCCTCCACTAACATCAGCTTTAGCTATTACACAGAACAACTAGGTTTTTTTTTTCAGCTCAAGGCTCAGGATGTCAAAGGCCCAAAAGTTTGGGTTCCCTTGCTCTTAACCAATTGGCTTGCGAAGCTGACAATTTGCCAGCCACAACAGCAAGGTCAATTCTTATGAAACCAGCAATCCACCAGTCAGAGCTGGCTGCTTGTCTCTTTAAAAAGTATGCGCATTTGCCCAAGAGATAGCAGCACATGTTGCATATTGTCTTAAAGCTGAAGTTCTAAGATATCAAAATCATAATAAAACAAAAATACAAATACAATGAATCATGATCTGGTCCAAATTCAACCAATGCAATAATGAATTATTAATTCATTATTGCATTGGTTGAATGAAACCTACTGGGTTAATGAAATGAATGAAACCTACTGTTTCAAATCCACAACACCTGCTTTGTGCTGGATGCTCTTCAAGAAATTCCCAGCCAGAGTATCAGCACATTCACCTATCAATGCACTCATCTAAGAGACCAAAAAAAAAAGTTACATTCTGGAAGAAGGAAACAGCTCCTCTATAGTTGAAATTTCACCTTTTTTATCTTGCCAGAAGAGAAGACAGGAGAGAGACGACGACGGACCTCCTTCCATTCCCCTCCAACAAGAAAAATTAGCATTTTCCTCCAATATTGAGAAGTAACAACAGCATCCTTCAAAAAGAGAAAGGTATAATCTTAACATTTCCAGTCATAATCTTCATTGTCAGGTGTCACATTAATAACTTCATGGAATCAAATTGATGGAAAATCTTGTCAGACACATGACTCACCTGCCTATCAACAAAGTGATCAAAATTCTTGATGCACACATCTCTGAGGATGTCTGGGTCAGCACACAGAAGGTAGGGTCGAGTCCCTTCATAAAGCCTATATAAAAGTTTATATTTCATCACTCAAAGGAAAAAGAGCTTGACTTACTTATAGATGCATTATGAAAAATTCTCACCCAATCACCCGCCCATGAATCCTTATGTCCCCTGCATCCTCAATGTGGTACATCTGTAAAATTCAGATATATATACCTTCTGGCACATAAACCTTCTAGAATGCAAGTCACAAAGATTCCATACTACACATGGAGAAGAGAAACAGATAACACAAGAAGTTTGTATCAGTTGCCCAGTGATGTCACCTCAATCAAAGTGGTGACACAAAGTCACCACTTTGATTGAAGCACTTAAGAAGCATGCAAGACAATCCAGTCTCACTAGTCAGTAACAAATATATCTGTGAAATTTCCAGTTTCTTCTCTGTTTTTATCTGTAGCCTTTGAAATTTCTGAACAACAAAAGCTATGAACAACAAAACAACTCAGGCTGTTTCATGTACAGTAGGCTCAAATATTTTTTTCCACTAGTGTGACGGCAAAGCCAAGGCAATACCATAATGGGACTACTTTACTCTGCATCCTTAATCTATGTTTCATGTATACTTTGGCCAACTGGGGCATAAAATTAATTCATGGAGAACTGCAACAGTGGATAAGTGGGAGCTTCTCATAGAGCTTCCTTTCAGGAATAGAAGAGACTGGTGTGGTGACACAGCCTCCTCCTCCAATGAATTTGAATTGTGATAGCTTTACAAGATATGTGATAAATTGAGCAAATAAATAATAAAATGTAGCTGAAATGTATCTATTAAATTATTGATTTTTACATCTTCCAAATGGTCACCAATTTGTTGGTTGACCATTCTCAAACATAGCAGGAATTCTCCATCATTTGCTGATGCTTTTAGGCATGATACATTAGCAGATCTTCTTGATTGCCATGTTAGGATTCTTGAAATTCTCAGGTTTTTATTGAAATGACATGCTCTTTTACATATCCCCAAAGGAGAAAATTGCAAGAATTCGGGTCCAGGGGTTCAGGGTGGTCAACTGATGTCAGCATTGAATTAATTCAAGAATCACCTTTAAAAAAAAATGTTTCTCAGTGCTCTTCATAGGACTTTAAGCCCAATGTTTACAGCATGGAGTGTTGTAAAATCTAACATTAAGTAAAATTCTTCAAGAAGAAAACATCCTTCAAAGTACCAGTATTAGCAAGAATTTAATTTACAGAACTTGCAAGAATGCAAGAGGTGTGGTTCATGCAAGATAGTATGGTGCATTCCATCCGCAAATGTTTTGCTGAAATCCTAAATAACTTGTTCATAAAGTATTACATGTCAAGATTGAAGCATGAAGTGACATACATGAAGCAAGCCCAACATGAAAGAGTCAGGAATCTCAAGCAACCAAGCACAAAAATCAAGAGGATCTCCTGTTGTGTCTCACTTGACAATGTCAGCAATCCATAGAATTAGTGGTGCATTTGAGGAGAGTCCACCAAAAAAATGATGACCATATGGAACATCTGACAGATCAACCACTAAGCAGGAAATATTCAGAAAAAGGTTTTGGTCTTTATTCCATAATTTACTGCAATTCAAACATGATTGTGTCCCAGACTGAGAAGTCTGGGACACACAGTGTGCAAAATTATTAAGAAGAATAACTTTTATGATTTCACTTCTTCTGTCACTCTACTGCAAAATGAAAAAAAAATTTTCTTGAAAATGGAGAAAGAGAATAAAAATAAGACAAGTTTCAACTCACGAAAAAAAAATTCATAAAAACAAATGAGCTTCTGAAGACAAAGAGTGTTACAGTTCAATGCATCAACATCATTTTTGGGAAAGTTATTTATTCTGAGTTAAGCCTGTGAAGTTTGATTTGTCCTTCGAGAATTTTCCCCACTATTTCTTTACCTTAATTCTGTAAGTAATGGATGAGTAACAGTAAAACAAATTGTCATCAAAGAAGCACACTAACCCTCTTCCAAACATTCCACATGGTGCCAATGAATGGATATACAGGTGGCCTGGTCTTGATACCCTGCTTCTCCCAGTAGTTGAACTTTTGGATGCTCAAGCTATCAAGGGGGAAAATGAAGTCTATTTGAGAATTAAAAAGCATGAATATATATAGAATTTACCATTTCATCAAGTAATTATAAGAATATACCATATAGCACTCCCTTAAAGAAATAAAACTTATTTACTTCTGGCTCTGCTTTTCAACTAAATCTGAATTATTGATAAAATATTTCATGTCAAGAGTTCAAAACTTACATGTAAAGGAACCCCAACACAGAAGCAAGTCCAACAAGGATAAATGGAAGCATGATGCTAAATGGATCCTTCCAATAAATGACAGCTGCAAGGAAATTGTGGCAGAAGTGGTAAAAATTAGAACTTCCAATAGATAACCTGCAACCAATTACCTGGTACTTAGTGATACCAAGTACAGATGATGAAGGAAGCAAAAATAAATATCAGAAAGTCAATAACAGAGTAATCAGAGTAATTCAGAAGGATGAAAACAAAAGGAATACAAAATAAATAAAAATTTTTAAAAAGTTTACAAATTCCAGACAAAGAAGGGCTGAATCCCAAAAGCTTGGATACTCATTTCATATTTCTCTTATGCTTTTCTTATTGCTCTTTTCCTTGCATGAGGGGGGTGGGAGGATAGCAGACATTTCATTTTTTACTTTTCATTCATAGACCATCTGATTCTCACTTGCCATTTTCAATGCTAAACAGACTTTAATGGGAGAATTTATCATGGGAAAATTTGCATCGTCCTCAATTATTCTGATCGAATGAAAATTCTTTTTTTTGGACACACAGCAAGCGGTACCAGCAAATAACTGCAATCTTGCAGTGACTTTGTGTCCCATGACACAAAACTTGCTTCTCTCATCATCAGCCTTTGATGATAAATCATGTTCACAGACCAACGTGTGAATAACTCAATATATTTTATTACTAATTTTCAGATACACTTTTAGTATTTTCAACTTATTCAATATCCCAATAGTACAAGCATGTTCATCACAAGCAATTAGAGGTTCATGTTAGGTTGAGGTTGCAGGAGGTAGGGTTTAGATGATGGAGAGCATCATCTGTGGTTCCAAATAGAAGACACATTCATGGGTCTTGAACCTTTTGTACCGGGTAGCCTACTGTACCACAATGTATCATATCATAGATACATTTTTGAAGCTTCATTAACTATAGTAAACTGACCAGTCTTGTGCTGTGAATACAAGCAGCCCCAGAAGCAGGTTAAAATTAAGTTTGAACCAGAACACACCCTGAGCTATATAGCATGCCTACAATGGTATGAACATTGAGATCCATATTTACTTTATTAAATCTCCTGCCATAGGAGTGCATGTCTCTAACAAGTCAGCCAACGCTATTGCATAGTTTCAGCTGATGATATGTATGTCAATTACTTCAATGAGACATGGAACTAATGATTAAAATGCATGAGTTCTCAATGGGTTTATTAGGGCCTCCACTCATGAGGTAGCTCACCAGCTGCAAAATTTCATCAAAGTTTCAAACAGACAATAAAATTCCCTTTGAAAGTATCAAATAGACAAGTCTCATAATAATAAGGATCCCAAATAGAAAGAGACTTAAATTGATTATTTTGCCAAGATCCCAGAGTAATTGCAAATGAATGGAGTTAAAGTTACACAAGTATGTCTCAAAACTTATCTGTATGCTCAGAGCACAAGAAGGGAAATTAATCATTTTCTGGCTTCTATTTCTGCTATCACATTCAATGGATGGAGAAGCAGATTTGGCGAAGTTGTTGCTTCCAATGGAACCTGCAAATAAAGCCACAAAATGTGAAATGCTCCAAACCCATGAACACTTAAAAGAACCTGCAAACAGAGATGACAGACCTGAGTTTGGGAAGAAGGGGAAACCTTGAATCGACTGAGGACTGAGGAGAGTGCCAACTTTATTTCCACCTGAGCAAATCGCATCATGAGGCAGTTACGTGGACCCTGACCAAACGGAAGGTGAGTTATTGGGTGCCGCAACTCCTTCTCAGACAGGGCAAAACGTTCTGGACGAAACACTTCCGGGTCCTCAAAGAACTCAGGATCGTGATGAATGGCATAAACAGGGAACCCAACACGCACTCCCTTCTCAAATCTGATGCCATCAATCTCACAGGGCTTTGTGCAGGTTCGCTCAGTCCTGATGAAGAATAGAAAAATGTATTTTTTTCACATTAATTGCCTAACAGATGACAAGGTAGTACACACTACCTGAGGATAGGTGGGAAGAGACGAAGGGTCTCTTGGATCAGCTGGTCTAAATAAGGGCAATCATTCACCATTTCATGATTTATGCCTCCCTGATAGATAAAAAAAACTTCCATGTAACACACAGCAGTGGCAAAACTAAAAAGCAGCCTAGGGGAGCAAGACCATCCAATTTACATCATTGACATCAGAAAAATTAATCAAAGCTAATTAGAAACTAGAGCAATAGAAAACTTTGACAAAAAAGAAATTCATCATGCAAAAAATTTGGCCACAAAAAATTTCCACAATTGAAAAATAGTAGTGCTACAAATTGTGCTTTTTAAAATTGACAGGCTGAGGTTTGGTAGTGGGCTTGGTAAGTTACCTTCATTCAGCATCTGTCTTTCATTTTATTATCACTCAAAATTCCTTCACCAGATTCCAGATTTTTTTTACCCACTGCATGAAGAGAGCCTTTCAGTGTGCTATTTGCCATCACTGCAACAATGGAATAACAAGAAAAGATGCTGCAACACCACCTCGAGATGGCACAAGGAGTCCACTTAGCAAATCATTTATTTTAGTCAGTTTTCTTCATTTTTATAACACTCCACAAGTTCCCAGTGGTCATTGGAGGTCTACTCTAATCTGTCTGTTTGCTGTCACCCAAAAAATGCAATTCTCAAGCACACTACACTTTGACAAGGAGAAAAGATGCCAGAAGAGAGAACTGATCAGACATGGCTCTCTGTACATGAACAAAAGTTTCCAACTCTTCTCAGAAATGCTTTCTCGTTGAATCTATAAATGTATATGGACCTCAGCATATGAGCTACAGAAATAATAAGAAATATTCCAAAAGCTAGTTTGGATCAGACAAGCTGTCAAGGTTTTGGATATGGTCAAGGAGTTATAGGAGTCAAAGGCAACAAAGGGTCCCAAAGCAGAAACTTGGAATTCAGTTTTCAAATAAATGTATTCTTTTACAACAATGGCATGCTGTTTCCTTTGACTCTTCTTTCAGGGTTGCTAACAGATAAAAGAAATTTAATTTGACTAATAACTGGATTTTAACAAATTAAGAAGTAAAAGAATCAAATAAGTTCTTAATTTCTCCACAAAAGAAGAATGACACAAACATTAGAACAGAACATCATGAGAGCATCATGAGTCCATTCAAAAATGGATAATTTTTTCTATTCAGTACCTCATATGCATTCACATTGAAAGTAAAAAGTACCAACCAATTGGATGAGATGTACAGGGTGTTTCTAAAGTCCATACTCATGGGTATTTTGAATTAATTACATTTCTCAATGAATGAGTGCACCAAAATTAGTACAGAAGTGCTAAGAAATATTGAGAGGGGGTTATGTACCAGGATTGATATGTGTATGTAAGTTCATGGCATGCAATTTGAACATTTAATGAAATAAAGGTAAATTAGGAAATCTGCCTATGAGTCCAGACTTTTGAAACACCCTGTATAAGAGGGAAAATTTGGGCTTCTACTTATAAGAGACTAATCCCCTATTTCTTTGGTTCACAATTATTGCTTAAGGTCCTATTCATCAGCTGAGTCACATCTGCAGTCCTTGTTTTCCATGACTTACTTCTTTATTTAATGCATTTATCAGGGCCCCTTCTTCCAAGTGGACTGTTTAAAAATAACTCCCAATTAGAAACACCCATGAATGGTCAGTTCAGCTTCCTCCTGATCACACAGGTCAATGATTAACATTCATTTGACACCCACCACCAATGCAAATAGTGAATAACTATAACAAAAACCTTTTGCCAATAGCACTTCATATCAAAGAAAAAAGTACTAACATGTACAGCCATCTTCTCCTTGATCTCAGCCACTGCTTTGTCCTGTGTCTCTGGATTTTGAGCCAAATAATGTGTGACCATGGTAAGGGTTGTGGCAGTCGTGTCATAACCAGTCAGGAAAAATAAAACCATCTGCTCATCAAAGACAAAAATGAGTGGTGTGAACTTCACTTCATACTGTTAATCTTCAGTGTGCAGAGGTGAAGGATATGGATGCACCTGAGCAATCAGAACTTCATCAGTCATGACAGGAGTCTTGGTAGAGTCAGTTTTGCATTCCATCTGCTCCTCTTCTTGAACATCCAACAGCAAGTCAATCATATCTCCTCGCTCTCTCTATGATTGCCAGACACATTGGGAACTTTAGTTACTGCACTTTCCATTCCAAACAGTATGATTGGACAAGAACCCAGCTTTAGTTACAACAAGCAATACTGGAACTACAATGTGATGGTGCTGCCTGAAAGGTATATCAACTCCATGGTCACACAGAATCATGGATCGCAGTCAATCAAAAGCTGGCTCATCAGCACAAGGCATTCAGCTTCAAACCCATCAAGTTACACATCATTAACACTTTTGCACCCAAGCCCTTCATGTGAAGGGGTGACATATTTGGCACAAAGGCCTGAGTCCTTCATAAGAAGCATTTACAATATGAAATTCCCAATATGAGATGCCACTAAACTGTTTTCAGATTGAATTGGTATTGTGGAGAACCAAGAAAGTACAAGATTTCAAGACAATCTGCTAGATGTCAATTGTACTGCATTGCACAGCTATTGGATTTTGGTTGGTAATTGAGCTTTTGGGATTAGCGTTGAGAAGGAAGGATGCCTTCATTACCTAGGAAATAAAATGAATGCAGTGAATGACCTTGGAAGAAAATTCTCCTGTTCCCAGTATGTCATAGTTCCTTGGTAAAATAGTGTTTCATCCTTGAACATCACTGCATGCCAACTAAAATTCGCTACATGAAAACAAATGGATCTTCCAGGTTTCTCAGGAGGAACAGACTTCAGGAATCATGCATACAATTGTTGCAGCATTTCTGATTTACAGGAATTTGTCATCCAAAAATATCAAGATGACCACATGCATCGAATGCTTATTCATGTTCTGTTTTCAGCATAGGAAGACACAATAGTAATGCAGTAAAACGCATTTGATCTTGCAGGGAATGAACCCATTAATGCAGACAAAGAAAAGCTGAGGCAAAAACAGTCAACTGAAGCTGGGAAGCTCTCAGTTCCACCTCCAGTATCTCCATGCAGTCTCTATTATCTCCCCTTCCCTTCTCCTCTGAAACACCTTAATTCCTTGCTCTCACATCTCTGTTCCTCACTCATTATTCATGTTAGGCTTTTCAATTAGTTTACTATTCTGTCTGTCTGTTGTCAGATATCTGGATGTCCTCAACAAAAATGACAGTTAAAAAAGAGGAGAAGGTCCAAATCAGCATTGCTCATAAGGTGGGGAGAGTCAAACTTAAACAACCATGCAAGGGTCCCCAGATTGGGAATCAGAGACCCACAAAGGACACAACTAATACTAAACCTTTCATCTGCTAGGTGTCCCTCCTGCACTCAATGGAAGCGCTCCTATGGGGGGGGGGTACCAATTCAATCTGAAAACAGTGTCCTACCACTACTACTACTACTACCTCTACTGCTACCAAGGCATGCTCAAGCTTACTACCACCTCTAGGCATTATTCTTTTTTAAAAAGCCACCACTATATGGCAGATGGCTTCATGAAATCATACCCAAGACTGAATTATTTCTCATAAACTGTCCATCAGGCAACACCACTACCAGCTTTTCAGGAGAGAGAATCTCTCATGTGGACAGCATGTATTTTGTGTCTTGCCTTTTTTTAAGCTTGACTTTCATTTGAATGCTTCAGTACTTCATTTTCATTCAATGAAGTTGTTATTACTGGAAAAAAAAAATTTTAATGTTTTGAATTTTTCTCCTTAATATAGTGCAAAGGATACCATGAGAACACCCTTTATATGGTTTCTAACATCAACCAAAATGAACAATATGACCTACCCTCAGCAAGGAATTTCTATGGGATAAAACTGGGACTGACCAAAAAGAGAAACAAACATTTGTTTCTGACTTCCTCTTCTCAACAATACTCTTGCCCACATCCAAAAAGAATCTGAATTCCTTTGTGAAGAAAAGGCCACTCATGAGTTTTGGAATCCAGGTGGATATGACTAGGAAGAAAGGGTACTTCACTGCAGGAAATCTGATTTCTAATGAGAAGAAGCTTACAGAACATTATCAGGGTACATACAAAGGAAAAGGAACAACGGAGAGCGGCTTTGAGAACCAGAGAAAGCTTCTTTGGCATTCCGAACAAAAGGATCATTTGGTGTGTTAAGTGAGTCAATCTTGATACCAAATGCACAGGTGGCTATCACATCCATTGTGTAGGCGCCATAACTCCTGAGACAAGGAATATTAAACAATTTGTATGCAATCCAAATTGAACATTTAGGTCTTATTATAATATAGTTGTATCTGAAATTATCAGGAAATATTTTAATTTTCACAGTAATTAAATTTTCACTTCACTTCAAGCTATAACTGTCAATGGATCTTACCCAGGGATATCTCCAGCAATCTTTATCAGTTACTAAAGCAATATAAGGTGGCTAGAAAAGACTTAATGACCACTGAATGAAAGAGGAAGCAAATGGAACCAACTGTCTCAGATCCACAACAGCTTTTTGTTGCTGGATGCTCTTGGAGAAATTCTCCACCAGAGTAACTGCACATTCACCCATTAAAGTACTCATCTGGAAGATGAAAGAGTGATGGTGAAAACCATTGGAAAGATGCAGCTCCTCCACATTTCTTGAGTGAAACTTCACCTTCTTTATCTTGCCAGAGGAGAAGGCAGGAGAGAGGAGACGACGGACCTCTTTCCATTCCTCACCTGGAAGAAGAGCCAGCATCTTCCTCCAGTAGTGAGCAGTGATGACTGGCTCCTAATGTGACAAGTAAGAAAGAGGAAATCATAGTCTACAAATGGCATCAACTTGGGAATCCTCATTCAGGCCATGCATATCTCACCATTCTACCATGCATATCTCACCATTCTATCAGCAAAGTGGTCAAATTTTCTGATGCAAATCTCTCTGATGATGTCTGGATCTGCACAGAGGAGGTAGGGTCGAGTCCCTTCATAAAGCCTGCAAGATGGTGCATTTTTAGAAATTCAAAAAAGTCAGTTTCATTTAAAGCATCATGAAGAAGAATTCTCACCCAATCCTCCGCCCATGAGTTTTTATGTCTTCTGTATCCTCTAAATGCGTCATCTATAAAATTAAGATAGATATATCTTAATCCCTTAAATGCTTCAATTCTGGTAGCAGCATGTACACTGTGATTTAATTTTTGAGTGCATTGTCTTTGTGTAATAGGATAAAAAATTTACCATAACCAAGCACCCAACACATGTGCAATATTATGTATAACACAATCAGTTTAGAAGCTGATGTTACAGACATGCAATATTTCTTGAAAAAAAAAACAAATGACTCACAGGAACAAGATACACAATATTATGTCAAAAGTGCTTAAGGGGTTAAGGTGTACACATAATTTCATTATATTTTTTATTCAAGAACTTCCAATGTACAAAGTCCCTCCAATGACAACTTTAAATAATAGTAAATAACATGTTAACATGAAACAAAGAAAAATTTTTATCTAATCAAATGTAATTTGGGATTCAAAACATCAGTGCCCATTATTGTCATGGCATAACTCATTGCAGTGCCATGTTCTCTGAGCCATCTTTTCAATTTGTCATTTAGTTATTTAAAAAAAAAAAGCTGCTGAGACTGCTGTTTTGAGTTGGTCAACTGTCTTATAACAGTGTTTTGACACATGTCCTTTGATAAACCCCCATAAACTGTTACCACATGTTGATCAACTAAACAAAAACAACAAAAACAAAGTTATTTTTTGTATATTGAAGGGACTTTGTGCCCACTTTGTACACTAGTATTAACCAGTTCAACCATTCAACATTGAACATACCTATGGAATCTCTGGCTTACTCTTCATCATAGTCTGCTGCCCAGGATCATGTGTCTTAGTAATCTAATTTACTCAATGTGGCCATTGCATGCAAGATGACAAAAATTGCAAACACATTCCTTTGACAAGAGTTGCTTCAACTGCAGAAAGAGAAGCAACATCTGTCTGCAGTTGGTAAAACATTACTCACCAATACATTTTTCAGAACCACAAAAGCTGCTCACAACCCAGCTTTACATGCCAGCATGCAGACTTTGATATGTTTTTCTGAGCTGATGAATGGTGAGTAAATACCATAGTGTTGCACCAAAGTAATCACTGATCCACTCCATAAACTTCAACTATAGGTGCTATGACATGCTTTCATGGAGATGAACAAGCACTTATGTGGAGATTCTCATGCATTTGCATGGCAGTACAGGAAGAACCACTAGAATATAATGATCCAAAAGGAATGGAATTGGCTAGATTTTATGTTTTCTTGCAATTTCTTGCAGAGAGAAAGAAGAACTCTAGTAAGTAAAAAATGAAGAAAAATTGGAGAGTTCCAGCCCTCACCACAAATAGCTTCAAGATGAAAACTAATTTCCTCACTTGATCAATCCCCAATGGTCAGCTTTCTGTTTGGAAAATTCTTCAACCAGTAAATTCCCAATGATAAATTCTTTGATAGTGGTACAATAGGTATACAAATGCAGATACAAATCTCTGGACATATATGAATAAGAAGTCTTTTACACTGGATTTTTCCCTTTAAAATGTCCCACTTCCACATCATGCAGCAAAGAACATCACATAGGTGCACCATGGGGGTGGGGGCAAGGGTGAGGGGGAACAAGCAGTTACCTCCTAAATTAGCTGGGTTGATGAGAGGGGGATCTAAGTGAACTAAAGAAAAATAAAATTCATTAATCTTCTCTAATTCTGGGGTGGAAAATACAATTAGGTTCCTTGCCCCCAATCTCAGGAAGTTAGGTTCACCTTAGAACATCACTGCTGATGAAACGCCAGTCAATCATTCATACACTCTTTCTGGATTGAATTCGTACCCCCCATATTGTGGAGAATGGGGAAAACACAAGATTTATAGAAGATCTGCTAGATGTCAAGCCTATTGCTCTGCACGGTGCTGGATCATTGGTAATAATTCTGCTTTTGGGATGACCACAGAGATGAAAATACGCTTTTATTCTATGGCAATAAAATGAGATTAATAACAAGAACAACCATGAAAGGAAATTCTCCAGTTCCCGAATGTTCTTGGAAAATGGTATCCCATCTTTGAACATCACTGTATGTTGTTGAACATTGTCTGTGCAAAGACAACTGAAGCTTGCAGGCCCCTCAGCAGGAAGAGACTTCGTGAATCATGACTATCATAACATTTCAGGTTATTTACGAATAATTGTCATCCAAAAACATTGGGATAGCCACATGTCATGAATGCCTCTTTGTAGCTTGTTTTCAACCCTTCTCAGCAGAGAAAGACCCAACACCAACATAATTAAATAATTTGACCTCACAAGGAATGGACCCAGCTTTGCAGATAACAGTAGAGACAAGACAAAAACGCTGCCAATTGCATATGTGAGACTCTTGGCTTCCGGCAGCTACAGCTAGCCTCTATTATTTCCCATTCTCTGTCCTTTGAAAAACCTTACTTTCTTGCCCTCATTTCACCATTAGTTACTACCATTCCTCATTATATCGGTTGACATTTCTCTGACATCAGAAACCCAAATCTCCATGGCAAAAATGACAATTCAAGAGGAGATGCAATCCTTAGCATGCAACATTCTCAATTACCCATCAGGTCCCAGGCCTAATCCGTAAGGGAGAAACAATCCAAATCACCATACTTGTCATCTATATGGTCATGAGTTTTGCCAAATCTGAATTAAACAACTGCACAGGGCTCCACATATCAGGAATTAAACACCCATGGAGGATTCTCTTAATATTTCACCTTCCATTCAAAAGATGTTGTGCCTGTACTTGATGGAAGTGCACCTAAGGGGGGGTACGAATTCAATCTGGAAATAGTGTAGAGACTTTCATGGAAAATAATAATAATAAAAGATTTAATAAAAGACATATTACAGGATAATCCTCTCAGCCAACAGAGACTTGATGATAGACAAGCTTCCAATCATGATCAAAATTGGGGGTATATATAGAAAAGTCTGGTGGTTTAGGAAGATCATTAAGTGCTCAGTCCTTAATATGGAGTTCATGACAAGCAAAAAGGGAAAGAACCTTAAGGGATATGTCCTCAAAGAACAAAAATGAATGGGGACAGATGGGGAATACATTCAGAGTGCCTCTACAGAAGAAACAAAGGAAACTGCAGGTACAGAACTACAGCAGAAGGAAGGTGGGTCCCATGAGCAGGCAAGGGCAATACCATCGTGCCCCAGAACTCATGAAAATAGTACAGAAGCTGGTTGTGAACAATGTGAATGATGCCAAAAACATGCAACAGAAAACAGGTTAGTGCAATAACAGGTGTAGGAAAGCCAGAAAGAGGAGTGGAGGGGAATTTGCCATTTGGGGAACTGACCAGTCAGGGAATTGATTGGGAACCTTTCATTGTAGAGATCATAACATTCCAATACATCATTTCATTTCAACATCATTTTGAGAAATGCTAATTTATTTTTTAAAATAAAACCTATTAACTAGCAATTCCTCCTTTTAGATTTTTCTTCAAGTATTCCTCATTTTCACTTGACATCTCATGAATGAGTCACCAAACATGATGACTCAACAAGAAAGAAAAATACCAACCCTTTTCCAAACCTTCCACATACTTCCTACAAATGGATATACAGGTGGTCTTGTCTTGATCCCCTGCTTCTCCCAATAGTCAAATTTCTGTGTGTTCCAACTACCAAGAGAGAATGAGAGTCTCCATAGGATTCATTAATAAATAAGAAACAATAAAAAAACTTACAAGCTATCATTGTTGACAATAAAAAAAAAAACATTTTGGCAGCCAAGTAGAACTTTCACAAGAAAAATAAAAATGAAAAACTTGCAGGCATTTAGCTCACCAGCCTCTCAAGACATGAAACATCATCACTTACTACAGGAAAGGTCACTGAGATGAAGAGTTTCAAACTTACACATATAGGAACCCCAGCACAAAGGCAAGTCCCATGAAGATTAGTGAAAGCATGATACCTCTTGCGCCCTTGCAATGAAAAAAACAAACATATTTAGCACTCATACTAACTTCCATGCTTACAGCCATACTAATAATAAATAAGGTGGATCATAACCTTTTTATCCCCTTGTATCAGCCTAACTACAAACTGTATCAAGAAAATAACTCAAGGATAGTAGGAGGTCATTGTTTCTAACATCCTCACAAATGATGAATGAGACAGGAGACTTAAAAGATTTCAGGGTCTGTGACAGTATTGACCCTTCTGCCACGAGATGTGAGACTGAGTGTAATTGATGATTGAAAAAAAAAAAACTTGAGAACCAGATCAGGGGTTCCCAAGACGTGGTACACGTACCACTGGATGCTGGAAGGTTCTATGTGAGTAAAAGGAGGTTTGGGAACCACTGATCTATATGTTTCAATGAGGATAATAGTGGTTTTCTCTGCAGGGGGAGAAAAAAGTTACAAGCCAATTATGGTTAACATTAGAATTAATACTTGATAGCAACCAACTGAATTCAAGTATTTCTGTTGCTAAACAGAGGCACATTGTAACTGTTAAAAATCTCGTTCATATTAGTATGGAAAATTCTTCAAGTATAAATAAACATTTTTTAATGAGACAGACTGGATTATATCAGCATATGACTGCAATCCTGCAGTGACTCTGTTCCAGGACACAAAACCTGCTTCATTCCTTGTCTGTCTTCTTAAATAAAATATATACTTGTAAGATATCCATTCTATTTTATATCAACAGGCCCCAAGTAGCAAAATAATGACGATATAAGTGCTACATCCATGATACTCTTTTTGAATGCATAAAAACAAATACAGGTATCAAAAATAGATATCACATCCAATGCATCACACAGCAGAGAGTAACTTCATATACTTATATATATATACTTATGCAAAATGACTCTTCCTTATACTGCAATTAAATATTTTTCCTCTCACATGGAACATCAAAATGTATGCAGACATCTGCAAGCAAAAGTCTCCAATTGTGGAAAGTGAAAATGGAGGACTGCAGGGACTTACCTTGCCATCTTCTAAATAAACATAGGTATGGACCTAACACACAACAGGATTCAAAGTTGCAAACACCGGGAATATGGATGCCTGAATAGCATCATGTAGAAAATATAACTGATTACATGAAATCCATCCTGTATTAATAGATATGTTCCTGAGATGAAACTGAGGCGTTTCATCCATTTCATAGCAGAAGAAAAGCAGGTGCATTTATGATTGACTAAAAAATCAGACAGACCAGTCTGGTGAACCTGATAAGACCCAGGTTTCACTCAGAACACATCATAAGTGGTACATATGAACAAGAAGACATCTACTTTGAGGAGCTCTAAATTTACTTGATTAAATCTTCCACCATCAGGATACAAGTCTTTAACATGACAGCAAAACCATCTGCATAATTTCAGATTATGAGATGCCAAATCTTTTAGAGAGATGTATAACAGATAATCACCATGCAGGAGAATAACCTCAGAGCAAAGCAATGAAACACCCATGTAGACAATGTGGACATATAAGCACATCTGCGAACCAAAAAAATCATCTTGAGAGACACTAATAAGGCTGGTTTCACAACAATAGAGACCCTTAATAGTTACAGAATGACAGCCATTCACCATGCCTCTGCTCTTTTCCCAGCTGACAAACCTGAAAGTTACACAGGATATACTGCAGAGAGGGTTTTACAGCATGTGGAAAGGGGAATTCAATTCCTGGCTTTCATTTCCACCACAACATTCAATGGTTGGAATGTCATGTTTGGAGATGTTGTTGCTTCCACTGGAACCTGCAAGTTCAATTACAAAGTGTCAAATATTGCAAACCTACTACAACTATGGGGACTATAAGTAAAAGGATAAATAGACCTGAGTTTGGGGAGAGCATGAGATCTTGAGCTGACTGAGGACATGACACAGAGCCACCTTGATCTCCACCTGTGCAAATCGCATCCCAATGCAGTTCCGAGGACCCTGACCAAAGGGAAGGAAAGTCATCGGGTGTCGCAACCCCTTCTCGGACTGGGCAAAGCGTTCGGGACGAAATTCCTCTGGGTCCTCAAAGAACTCAGGATCGTGGTGGATCGCATAAACTGGGAACCCAACACGCACTCCCTCCTCAAATCTGATCCCATGAATTTCAATCGATTTTGTGCAGGTTCGTTCAATTCTGAGGATGAGCCAAATGAGAATTTTCAAACAGATAGCATAACCATTGACAAGGCAAGAAGGTCATAGCATACCTAAGGCCTGGTGGAAAGAGGCGAAGTGTCTCTTGGATCACTTGATCCAGATAAGGACAGTCATTCACCGTTTCATTATTTATTCCTCCCTGGTGAATAAAAAATACTTTATTATCCTGCATTAGTGCTTCCAGTCCCATTCTTTGGTCAGAATTTTGAACATTCTGCTACTTATCACTTGGCAATTGCCCATTATTCCATCTGAAGAGTTAGGGAGAATCTGGTTGAGCAATCTCCATACCACTCTTCTACAACTGGTAGAGAGGAGTCACTCAACACACCTTTCTTCCTTAAGCTGCAAAGAACACCTCCTCAGATACTGAGAGAAGTGATAATATGCTACATCATAGTCAATACAAAGAGGGTGACATTTTGAAGGAAACATTTGCAAAGGTGAGGATTAGTGAGAGGAACAGTGTGATGGGAAGGAATATCAAGACTTTTTGAAAGTGAGAGAAAGGTGCTTCATATTATGTATTCCAGATCAAGCATGGAGTGAACACACAATACAATACCCTGGCTTAAAAGGCTGCTTATGCACAAACTTCTATTGAAGGCAGACCCAGATATGAGTAATGCACAAGCTTTGAATTCTAATGACTTTCCCATCAGGGATCAGGGATAAATTTTTTTATTTCTCAAATACCCTCATCCCTGCCTACTATCCTTTATTCAGGTAAAAAGCCAAAGAGCAAAAAAATAATCAACTAGGTTTGCATTTGCAAATCAAAAATACCTAGAGCATTAGGATTAGAATCCTAGTAATCCTCATCCCAATGTTGAACTATATATAGCATACAGAGAAGAATTACTACTGTTTGGCAATTAATGATATTTTACAAAGAAACAAGTTGAACACATCCAAGACCAGTTATGAACATCCTTTTGAGTGCACCATCATAGATGATACAGGCAAGATAGTGATGGATGTGAAAAGAGAATAGCCGAGAACAGGAGAGGGCATCTGAAGAAGTGGGCATGCAGATGGTTGCTAGTTGGCACAAAGGAGGGACAGCCATCCACTTCTCTGAGGTCCTCTATTACATGCAGATATTTTCATAATAAACTTTTAACTGAATGAAAATATTAATAATATGAGTAAAATCTTGAAAAAAAAAAAAAATAAATTGTCAATGTCAACATTATCGTTTTAGTGAGTTGTGGTAGCAATAATATGAAATTTGAAGCAGCAGCATCCCCCCAAAAGATTAGAAGGCTTCCCACTGGCACATAGACAGGCACAGGTACCCAAGTTATTTCACAAGAAGCCCAAGTCCTTTTTCAAAAAAAGGAGGCTTGCTAAGTATGACTAACATGTAGAGCCATCTTCTCCTCGATCTCAGCCAAAGCCTTGTCTTGTGCCTCTGGATTCAGTGCCAGATAGTATGTAGCCATGGTGAGGGTCGTGGCAGTCGTGTCATAACCGGCCAGGAAAAACAAAACCATCTGCTCATCAAAGACCAAAGCAACTCGAGTGAGAAATTCTGTCTCGTACCGAGTGTTTCGGTATGCTCTGCTCATGTATATAGAAGAACCTGTGCAATCATGACTTCATCAGTGAAGAAAGTAGACTTGGTAGGATCAGCTTCATTTTCCTTCTGCTCCTCATCTTGTGCATCCAACATCAGGTCAATCATGTCTCCTCTCTCCCTCTATGAATCCAAGGTATAAGAGTTCATGAACTACAGCAACAACAAAAAAAGTATTGATATTTCCATCATTTTGAATTCACTAGGGCACTAACAGGATGTTTCTCACAGATGAATGATACCTTTTTTCTTTCTAATTCACAAATGAAGGGGTTAACCTTTAACTGACAGGCCATTTAAAACTCCAGTGGGTTAACACAGAGAGACATGTTAGGTGGTGGTGTTTTGCTGTTTTGCACAAAAAATCAATACATATATCATTTGATTAAACAAAAACCAAGTTGAAGGTAATGAACCATATATGATTAAGGTGTGATAATTGGTACCACTTCAATGGAAGGTTTGATGAAAGGTCAATTTGAAAATGTAAGAATTCTGGATTAAACACTGAAAAGTGTAGCAATCCATTATTGCTAAATCAACATTTTTCCCAGTATCTTTATATGGTACTTACCTAGTCTGAAAAAATTCAAATTTGTTTTAAAATGTAGGCCAAAAGCACTCTCACATTAGATTCTGTGTGCATAAATTAAGCACTATTTTTCCCATGCTCTTCTCAAATGACCACCAACTACAATACAAAATATGCTAAATTAATTTTCTCTACCTGCTGTTATGTGCATTGTTTGAATACATGCCCTCTTCACACAGCAGAAAACATTTTTAACGAGCTGGAGTCGAAGGACAGATACGCACATTTTTCTCGGCCTTCCTCTTCTCGGCAATGCTCTTGCCCACATTGAGAAAGAAAGTAAATGCCTTAGTGAAGAAAAAGCCACTCATAAGTCTGGGGATCCACTTGGAAACGACTAGAGAAGGAATGAAGAATTTCCCACAGATAAAGTCATCTCACAAAAACCCAACAGAGTATAAAGAAACACACATAAGAGAAGAAGCAACGGGGAACGGCTTTGAGGACCAGAGAACACCTCCTTGGCATTCTCAACGAAGGGATCATCTGGTGAGCTGAGTGAGTCAATCTTGATCCCAAATGCACATGTGGCTATCACATCCATTGTAAAGGCCCCATAGTGCCTGTGACAGGGATGTGATGGAAATAGTGTACAATTACTACTAAACATCTGAGTTTCATTCAAATGCCACTGGATCTGGTGTTCTAAGCTAATGCAACTTCATGTCCACTTTCATGGCAAGAGCAAAGAACTTTACTTCATCCTATTACAATCTCGGCACCTGATGAATGTCATCACTCGTCGTTAGGGACAAAAGCAATGAAAAGACTCGATGGCCACCGAACGAACGAGGAAGGGAACAAAACCCACTCTTTCAGATCCACAACAGCAGATTTCTCCCGAACGTTCTTGAGGAAATTCTTCGCCAGAGTATCTGCACATTCACCCATCAAAGCAGTCATCTGAAACACGGGAAAAAAAAAAAAAGCCCGCCTGAAGACCCATCCCCCGACAGAGACTCGGACGACCCACACCCTCACCTTCCTTATCTTCCCGGAGGAGAAGACGGGAGTGAGTCGACGACGGACCTCCTTCCACTCCTCGCCCGCAAGAAGAGCCAGCATCTTCCTCCAGTAGCGAGCAGCGATGACCGGCTCCTGGCGTGTCGGGTCGGAACGAGGAAGTCGATAGTCGACACGTTGCATCGACTCGGAAAGCCTCGTTCGATAAATGTATGCCTCACCATTCTGTCCACGAAGTGGTCAAATTTCTTGATGCAAACTTCTCTGATGACATCTGGCTCTGCACACAGGAGATAGGGCCGAGTCCCTTCGTAAAGCCTGCAGGAAAGATCACCTTCCATCATTTGAAATTAGCCAATTCGAAGAACGGGGGCACGGCCGAGGGTTCTCACCCGATCCTCGACCCGTGCGCCTTGACGTCTCTCGCGTCCTCCGCGTGGGTCATCTGTCGAGATCGGTATGCGTGAACTTTCGCACAAATGCACCATCTTATGATAAAACTGAAAGGATCGACAACATCCATCGCTAAAGACTCATAAAAACTGAAGTTCCGTCGGAAGGTGAGGCGAGGAAGCGACGGTCGAGCAGATGACGAAGGGAAACTCTGGGAAAATTTAATAAACTTCTCACACATCTCCCTTCTGAGTGCCTTGAGAACCTACATTATAATTTTACTCTTTATTCCTGCAAATACGAATGAAACAGGAAAATCTATCCCCAAAAATAATAAATAATTAAAATCAAAATAACAAGGAAATTCCCAACTCCCACTCGAGATCATGACAAAAAACTAAATTGGACACAGAATCCTCCCAAAAAGGCTCCTCACAGCACAGCCCCCCCCGCCCCCCCAAAAAAAGGAAAAAAAAGACGGACCCTCCTCCACACTTTCCACATGCTCCCTATGAATGGATACACAGGCGGCCGGGTCACGATCCCCTGCCTCTCCCAGTAGTCGAACTTCTGGACCTTCCAGCTGTCGGCAGAGAAGCGCGAAGTCCCCTCAATTTCCAAGATCGGCATGTGCGAAAAAAATCATTGTGAAAAAAAAAATAAATAACTGAGATGCAACGGTGTCGATTTCTCGCCGACGTCCGATATTTATAAAACAATAAAATGAAATCGATTTCTCTAACCGATACCGGCACGATTCATTTCACATGCTAGATTTTAGCATTAAAAAAAAAAATTCGGAAATTTTCATCAAGAATTCAGTCTGATCTGCGAACCGAAGCGGCATCGGCTTGAGATCATCGCAAGGATAAGTTCTCGTGACCTTGTCTTTTTGAAAAGTCTCCGAATGCAAGAAGGCGTTATCAGATCGTCAGAAGAAATATGTTCCACAAAATGGTGGGGAATGGAATTCGAACTCTAAATGATTGAAGCACATTCGGTATCTGAAAAAAGGTCAAAATAAATGTAATTAATTAATTAATTAATTTTGGGGTTCCCCTCAAATTTCACTGCGCAGATACGCAACTGGAAACTCGTTAACCTGTGCGCGATTCACGCCTTTTATCTGAATTGTTGTCCTTTCGTCTTCATTAAAAAAAAATATGCCAGCAAGAGAAGGGGCTGGGGGGGGGGGGGGGGTTGTGCCACTGGTGTTTATCTGTTGTGAGCGTCGTGGCACACGGGGTTCACATTTCTACATCGCCATTCGGGATTACACTCGACGAAAAAATGACGCTCGACAGTTCGAAAACAAGCACGGTTTTCTCGCGATGGCACAAAATAGTTCCGAAATCATCGGTGGAACGATGGACAACCCTCCCTCTTCTCAGAAGATAATTATTCCCAAAAAAAAAAATACGGAAAAGACGTCGAGACGCACCTCGAGAGGAACGATCCCCGATCCCCCAGCGACGAGGCGCTGCATCCCCGGTTGAAAGGGCGGCGGCGACCCGACGCAAGACTCCGTCGGCCGACCGAATCCGTGGTCGAATCCGGATGTCAGCCGCCGAATCCGGGGGCGAGTCCCGCGAGAGCTCCTCTAATCGTCGTCACGTGATCCACTCATCCCCCACGCATCGAGAGGCATCCCCTCGTTCATCGGGATTTAGACGCCTCGCCGGTCGGACCGCGGGACACCCGCTCCCTTATTCCGCGCGCGTCCCGCTTTACGAACCGACCGCACCGCGGCCTACTCCGCCTTGAAACTCGGGTCCGCCACTCCCCAAGACCGGAACGTTTTGTTTTTCTTCGCAGTATTTAGATGCGACCTTGAAAGGGACACTCGCGTCCATTCCCCGCACAGTCACCGCATCGATACCGAAATGATCCGGCCGTTTTCCCGACCCCATCGAGTCCTTCAACGCCGGATATACAAACTGGGCACATCGAGGACCAAAGCGACGCCTGACTTCGCACTTCGTCCAGGCATCTCGGCTGTGCCGATCGGTACCGCCCTGCAGACCCGGCCCGGATCGGTCGAAATTTTTTATCCGTCGTTACGAATATCTGAGCATGGCCCATCCTTGCGGGAAAAGGACCATAAGGACCCTTCTGATTTTTCCACCTTCATTTTTGGATTGGTCCTCGAAAAAAGTGAAACTCTCCTCATATATCTATCGACCTTCGACCAGACGTATCTTTTTCCACCGATAACGGCCGAAAACCGATAACCAACCGCCCCCCCCCCCCCCCCCCCCCCCCCCCCCCCCCCCCCCCCNCGAAAACCCAAAACCACCCCCCCCCCCCCCCCCCCCGCCCCCCCAAGAAATTTCCTTCCCGAGACGAATCCGAAACTCACACGTAGAGGAAGCCCAGCACGACGGCCAGCCCGATCAGGACCAGTGAAAGCATTTCGGTTCACGTCCCCTTCCAATAAACACGAAACCGGCATTTTCAGTTTCACAATTCCAGTTCTTACTTCCATCCTAGCAATTTTATTTATTTACCATTTTATTTATTTATTAATATTTCATATTTTGCTACTTCTGCTTAACATGAGAGCCAACCACGCTCAATTTGCAACGACTTTAATCGTCGAGCCCAAAGGCACGACAAAACCCTCTACAAATTGGCTCCACCCTTGACAAAGGTCAAAGGTCAAAGGTCAATGGACCTTTGACCCCCCCTCAAATGAGGCATAGCGTCACAGCAAGCGACTGCCATCCGGCAGCGACTCTGTGTCCTCTGACACACACCTTGCTTCCCTCAGTCTCAGCCACTTCAAGAAATCACGAAACCAGATACCCATGCGAGGCATTTAATCACAATGCGAAATCACAAACAAGGTACAAAATCACGATCCGATCGCGAGGAGCGACATAAACGGCAGTGCATCGATGTGGGCCGGAAAACCCATGAAAACCGTCTGGAAGACCGAAAAATAATCAAATCCCAGAGAATCGATGAAGGATCACAGAAATAGGACCATCGAGTCGGGCGAACCGCGTCGGTTCCTCACAGTATTACAGATTGACCTCGGACCAAAGTTTTAAATGAAAATCAGAGAAGCAAGAGGGTTGCTTAGGGGAGCAAAACATGCAACAAAAGGCCGAAGAACGAAGGAAATCGAAAGGAAATTTAGAGCATCATCGGTTCGAACATATCAATCTGATCAAAAGCTCATTTCGACTTCAAAGGATATACAAAAATTGTCTCATTGTAGATGTATAAATTCTAGAGAAGTGAAAGAAAATCATGCTTGATTACAACGAAATGCTTGATTGCATCAAAATGCTTCATTCCCTGGCTTCTAGCTTCACCTTCACATTCACCGGTAGAAAGAACCCCAACGAAGGTGCCGTTTCAACAGGAACCTGCAAATGGTAAAAAAAAAAACAATCAAAATGACTAATTCCTAAAGTCAAGGCAAAAGTGATAATCAGAGATGCTGAGATGTGGGAGCTCCCCAAGAGAGAACAGGCTGAGCACAACCCAATCCAATTGTGAACCTTTCTTGAGTGCATCATGATGAAAAACAGAGGTGAAAGCAATGGAAGATACAAAGGAACAGAAGGAGAATCCTCGAGAAAGCCTCGGGAACGGAGGCCACGAGCGTCCGTGGGACGGGCAGCGGTTCGGGCGAAGGAGGGAAGACCGTGCAACTTTTTAATGCAATCTATGAGAGGAGGGGGATGAAAGATATGGTCTTCACTCCACTCTAGTTTCAAATTTATTACAGTACTCCTAAAGTGAGGTTATTTGATTAAACATTTCCAATCCAAAATGTAACTGCAATTTTATCACATTTTTGTGCACTGCTGTGAAAATTTTATGAAGTCTGAAGCATAAGTTTTCTCCCCAATTTAGGTGAAGGCATCACATTGGCAAATATACTGGGTGTCTCAAAAACCCTGCCCCAAGTTTGGATGGAGACTAAGACTAAACATATGGACCCATCAAAATTGTCTCTGTATTATTTATTTCAGAGTATAGCATCTAGCAGAATGAGGAAGCAGGGATTCAATCTTTTTGCCACTCAAGTCCCATTCATCATGGATTCCCTTGGAACAATGGCATCAAAAGGGGAAAGTCATCCACTGCTTTCTGGCACATGTCCAAGCTTATGGCATTCAGTTTGGTGGAAATGGTGTTGATGAGGTCAGGGATGTTATGGGATTTTTTAACATACAGCTTAACACCTTAACACCTTTCTTAACAATGGCAGCAGTTGAGAAAGGTCTAGGCTTTCGAATGATACAGAACTAATTTCCATAAAAAAATAAAGACTTAGGGTGGATTTTTGAACAGAGAACTATCTGATAGTGCTGCTTCATTTCCAGGAAATATCATGTATTTTCCCTGGAATAAAGCTGCATTATTGGATAGTTCTCTGTTCAAAAATCCACCCATAATAATGTACAAAACTTGAGCAGGGTTTCTGGGACACACTATATAAAATTGTCCAGATGCCTTGGTTTATATCAAGCTTTTTCAACTAAAAGAAACAAAAAACCAGCTTTATGTAAAGCCAGCGCAACCTCCCTCCAGGTTGATATCTCCCACACCTCAAATTTTCATACTCTCCAGAGTTCTTGACAGACCTGAGTTTGAGGTGAGCGTGAGGCTTTGAGTTGACTGAGGACATGACACAGAGCCAACTTGATCTCAGTCAGTGCAAAACGCATCCCAATGCAGTTTCGGGGACCATGGCCGAATGGAAGGTAAATCATTGGATGTCGCAACACCTTCTCAGACTGGGCAAAGCGATCTGGCCGAAACTCCTCTGGATCCTCATAGAACTCAGGATTGTGATGAATGGCATAAATGGGAAATGCAATGCGCACCCCTTTCTCAAATTTGACACCCCGAATCTCACACGGCTTGTTGCAGGTCCGCTCAGTCCTGCAAAAACCCAGTACAATAAATAAGGCTCATTTACTTTCATGGAGGAGTGTGTTCTGTCCTGTATCATCGAGGTTATGTATCTCAACCTGTTTATGTAAGAAAACAACAGCCAAACTGTTAATATTTTCATATGAAACATGAAGACTGAAGCAAGAAATGGAGAGAGAGACAAGATGGGGATATCTAAGAGACAGCACAGAGTAGCAGGTTTCAAAACTGAACTTCATAGGATAAGGCATTCCAAATGTGGTATTCACATAAGGCAAAAAAATAAAGAATTCTTACCGAAAAGCAGGAGGGTACAAGCGGAGTGTTTCCTGGATCACTTGATCTAGGTAGGGACAATCATTCACCATCTCATGATTTATTCCTCCCTGGCATGACAGGAACAGCACATGTATCTCAACCAATATTTATTTTTGCAAATGTTGAAAAAAAAAAGAGAAAACTCACATACTGCACCACTCTCTCTTTGATCTCATCAACTACCTTGTCCTGGACATCGGGATTCAGAGCCAAGGAATACATGACCATGGTGAGTGTGGTTGCACTTGTGTCAAACCCAGCCAGAAAGAATATCATCATCTGTGCAACCATGAACTCCTCAGTAATGACAGGAGTCTTGGTAGGGTCAGCTTCACATTCCTTCTGCTCCTCTTCTTGCAATTCTAACAGCAGATCAATCATGTCTCCTCTTTCCCTCTAGGCATATCAGGGGGAAAATGTGCATTGGCAATGAAAGGGATTGCTTTATATTCAAAGCCTTAATTTTAAAGGGCAATTTTACTGCATGCATCTTAGTTGAAGGCCAAAGTTTTAAGAACCTGAGTGTAGGAGAATTTACCATACAACAGATGAAGGTTTAGTTTCACATGTGAAACAATGGCACAGCAAAATTGATTGATTGATGAAATTGATTGCATGACTGACAAACCCTTGTCAAGACATACATCAGAATAATGCACAATAGTGGGTTATGGTAAGAAATAGCCTGGAATGGTTATTTCCAAAACAATTTCTTAAGTTCATGCAAATGCATGGGCCTAAAAAAAAATGTTTCACTACATAGTCTTCATGCTGTGTCATTCTGAGGATGTTCAGTGATAACTTGACATTAGCATGTTTATTACTAAACAGGACTTACAAGTTTTTCCTTCCTACGTTGGTCAGCAATGGACTTGGAAACTCTTGCAAAAAACAGGACCTCATTGGAGATAAGCATCTTTGATAACCTCTTGGAAAAAATGTTCCCAATCACTGCAGGAAACAGTTGGAAATGAATCATGTAAAAGAAACATGTGGCTCCAGAGGAAATAGGAGAGCAGGAAACTCACATAACAAAAGCACCAAAGGTGTGCGGATTCTGGGGTTGAGGAAAGCTTTCTTGGCATTTTCAACAAAGGGATCATGAGGAGAACCCAGAGAGTCTATTTTTGTCCCAAAGGCACAGGTTGCTATCACGTCCATAGTGAAGGCTCCAAAATGCCTGTTCCAAATGGTATTATGAGGTAAACAGAACCCCATCAGGTTGTTCCTCCCAGTTTCTCAAGGTATAGGATGGACCAAAAAAATGTTACAAGTTTTGACAATGTGCCATTTTGTTTCTAATAAAGATAAAAATGAGAAAAAACGCTTCTAAATGATTAGAAAACTCACAAGTTTCATGTGCTTATAATGTGTGTTCAAATTGTCCTCCTCCATTTTGTAGACAAGAGGGAACTCTGATGTTAAGTTTTCAACTACCGCCTGAAGAGTTTCACGTGTAACACCTGAAATGACACGTGTCACTGCATCCATTAGGTCAAGAATCATTGCAAGTTTCTCTTCAAAGATCTTCTCCTTCATATAGCCCCAGAGAAAATAATCCAGAGGGCATTTCTCTAGGGCTATATGAAGGAAAAGATCTTTGAAGAGGAACTTCACCATCAGAGTTTGCTCTTGTCTACAAAATGGAGGAGGACAATTTGAACACACATTATAAGCACATGAAACTTGTGAGTTTTCTAACCATTTAGAAGCATTTTTCTCATTTTTATCTTTATTAGAAACAAAATGGCACGTTATCAGAACTTGTAACAATTTTGGTCCACCCTGTATAACATGAAGAAATGACAAATGCAAGAAAAGGATTTAAAATATAAAAAAAAAGGATCTGATGTACATATAAGATCACATGTTATAGCCTATTTTCCATAAATGAAGAATATTTCATACTTTTTCAGGTTTTTCTTGTATTAATACAAGTACTATGTTGAACTTCTCCAAACCATTTCTATTTTTGCCTATATATAGAATAAAAGAGTTACTTGGTGCTGAATTTCACAAAAACTACCCAAGGGCAACAGAAAATGCCCAACCTTTGGACCCAGAAGCACGACACAGAGACCCAAGTCCAACTATTGGAGATAGCTTGCAATTATGGGGCAAAGCTTAAGGAAGTTAAAAAGAGAAAGGACAGCAATGGATAGTATTTGTTAGACAGACTTGTGGCCTCAACCCCCTGAAGATACAGGCTGTCTGACAAATTTCTGGAATAGAATCCTTCACTGTCCTTTCTCTCATCTCTTTCTCAGAGATCACAAATCTCAGCACAGGCAAACAGTGATAATATAAAGCATACTATGTGATAAAGAAGACCAGGAAGATTGAAAAAACTACAGAACCATGAGTCTTTTGTTGATCATCTGCAAGTGCTTTATCTAGATTTTAAGCAACGAAGTCAAAGGGAAAAATATATTTAAATCAATCTTCAGAAAAGGTAGGCTTCAGGAGTGGAATCTCAATTGCTGATCATTGACAGGCTAAATGCAGGAAAACTCAAAATTTTCATTTTTCAGCCATGTATATACAGGGTGGCTGAAAAGTCACCATACCCCTACCTACCTTTTCATATATATTAATATATTTTGTTAATAGAGAAATAAAAATACTGGTGTGCACATCCCACATGTCTGCTCAACACAGAAGCGTGTGGGCCTGACGCGAAACGGCCCTTGAGCGACTGGCTAGGCGACTTCTGCAACAGCTCAGCAGAATTCAGTTTTGGCAGTTAACTATGGCGGACACCAGTAGCTACACCATTGAGGAGCACTTAGTGGCGAGTGAGTGCGTGCATGAAAGACAGCACACCGGACAGGCGATGGCAGCATTCCAGGTACGATTTGGAAAGCCACATCCGTGTAAAGCCGTTGGGGTGAATGTGCGATGGAGGAGCAACAGTGGCGTACGTGTCCACTCAAGTTATTGGCCAACCACTACACAGCTGTCCACACTGCCGTGGGAAAGCACTCGTTTCTCCCATGCTAATAATGTTGCTTTACGCGAAGATGGCTTTCCAAATTGTCTCTGGACGGCTGCCATCACCTGAATGGTGTGCTGTCTTTCATGTCCCCACACACTCGTCGCTAAGCGCTCCTCAATGGTGTAGCTACTGTGACATGTGAGATGTACCCATGGGAATTTCTATATCTCTATTCACAATATATATGAAAATACATGGAAATGTAGATAGGGGTACGGTGACTTTTCGGCCACCCTGTAGAATGTAACCTGAAGCCAAATGCATCTCCAAAGTTCCTCTATGCATCTTCAAAGTTCCTTTGTGAAAATGGATGAGGACTCACTCTTTAAGATCCACAATTCCCTCATTATTCATGCTTTTCTTGAAATTTGATACCAGTGTCTCTGCACATTCACTCATCAATATACTCATCTGAAAGAAAAGGTGACAAAAAAGAAGTTGGAGGAAGTTTAATAACTGAGCACTACCTATATCAGGTCCATGAACAGGAAAAATTCTTAAAATCAGAAACCACATCAGGAAGAAAAGATTTCCCAGGAAGGTGGATTTAGATTGAACAAGCATAAAAAACATTAAATGAGTGATCCTAAACAGTTTACTTTCTCTGTAGAGTAAATGACTACAGACAACATCTATGTAAGTTTAAAAGAGCTAAACACTCCACTTTTGGGACATGCTCTCCTAGGATTCTACAAGCAAGTTGCTGCCAATAAAGATTTGGACAAAACAAGGCTCAGTAGCTGAGTGTTACAGGCTCTTAATTCAATCCCACAAGGTAAATGATCAAGTCCATTAATCAAAATTTTCCAAGAATGGGTAAGCGACATCATGGGCAAAAAAGTAAGGGAATAACAATTTCCTAGGAATGATTGTTTTCATTATTCTCCCTCATAAGAAATGCGAAAAATAGACAGGAAATACCAGAATGTATTCCACTCAGTCATAAGAAGGTAAAGAACTTTTCTGTTCATGGTTAGGTCCACAAGTACATCCATAAAAGAGCTTACGTTTTTTATCTTTCCAGATGAGAACATAGGAGAAAGTCGTTTACGAGCTTCTTTCCATTCATCCCCTTGCAAGGCAGACAGCATCTTCTTCATGTACTCATCAGTAAACATTGCCTCCTTCAAGAGCATAAAGGGGGTCTCAATCAAAAACTATGCCCATTTAGTTCACTCTGGAATGAAAAAAGAAAGAAAGCCAGTCTTACCCTTCTGTTGACAAAATGGTCAAAATTCTTGATGAAGACATCTCGAATGATATCAGGATCAGCACAAAATAGGTATGGCCTTGTACCTTCAAACAATCTAAGACAGACATGCATTTTCCCAGTAACTTCTTTATTTTTGATAAGGGGAAATTCTAGGACACTTACAGGCATATTTTCAGCCCCAAAATTACAACAGTGTTAAATGTTGTTGATTTATAAATGTCCTAGATTCAACAAAAAGCCTTCATACTTTCAGATAAAAGATTAAATAGACCACTATAGATCACTATAATTATTAGATCAGGTCTGAAAGGAGTCATAGTTCCCATAATGATCACCAATGATTGTGAAAACAGCTCACCCAATAAGTTTTCCATAGGTTTTGATGTCCTTCAAATCATCTACAACCATCACCTGGAAAATCAACAGCCATTCAGAGGCAAAGTTTAGCTGGGTACAAAGGTAAATTGGTCATGCAACTGCAATTAGGCTGAGAAATTTCTTGCTCCTCTAGCAATCTTAGCAAATGTGATCTTTCTAAACATCATAATACATGATGAACAGAAAGTGATGTTCTTTTGCCATTGGCCTCTTTTTTTCAGCTTTAAGGTAAATCTTGGAGATGGTCAATTGATGAATAGGGATCCCAGACCACTAAAAATTGTACTCTCTGCTAATATCAAGTTATTTTAATTCTTAAAAAAGAGTTACCAGAAATAACTGATTGAATAACTGAAAATTTGTGAAAATCATGAAGTGGTTATTTAAAATGAAATATGTTGCCAATGTACAAAAAAGGATTCCATCAATGTGATTGCAGCGCTGCTGTTTCTTCAGAGAGCACAATCAAGAAGTTGATTGAGGAATTTGGGAAACAGGTTCAATGTGAAACATAAAAAAAAAAGCATTTAGTGTTTTTTCATTCAATGTGCATGAGCTACTGAAAGCCTCAATTATGATCTCCATGAACTTTTTATTTTCATCCAGAGAAGATTGACCATCCTTTGGGAGGATTTGCAGGGAATCATTTTCACAGAATTTCTTCATCATCCTCTCAATTATGCTCTAGGAAGGAAGACAAAGTTTTTTTGAATTGGCACTGCAATTAATTTCAAACCACTACTCCTAAAGTGTCACCAGCTTTTCAATTGGTTCCTCCATATTACACTTTTCTTCAAATATTTAAAAACAAATTTTCAAAACCCAGCAGAATTACCATTCTTCCAGGATCCCTAATGAACACTTCATCAAATCCAAAACATAACTTTATCAACAACAAAAAAAAAGAAAACAGCAAACTTTCATCTAAGCCACAACTCAAGGTTTTGCCAAATTTAATATTCATCTCTTCCCAAGCCCATATTTCTTTGCAACCTATCACACATGATAACTTCAAAATTTATGTCAAGCTGCAGGCCAAGTGCAATGGAAAAAAAAATAACATCATGATCATCAACAATATTGTGTTTGAAGATAAATGAGGGAAGTGGGAGACATTAGCCTCACTGCCTGAGCTAATGACTTTTTAAATTAAACCGTTTTTTTAATATTGATTACAAGGCATGATTAACAGGTATAGACATGAAGTATGTGGCACAAAATTTGATAGATCATTATATCAGTTCACTCACCCTCTTCCACACTTTCCACAAGGTTCCCACAAATGGATAGCAAGGAGATCTGGTTTTGATTCCCTGCTTCTCCCAGTAATCAAACTTCTGTGTGCTTCGTCTACAAAGAAAAGCAATCAATATCTGCATTGCCTTAACTCTCAGATCATATTCAACAGGATCATATGAATGTAGGATCACAAGGGGGCAAATAAATCAGAAATAAGCATGACCAAGGTGGACAAAAGATGGTCACACAGCAAAAAGAAAGGGAAGGGAGACGCAATCACAAAAATTGCAAAAGCAAAAGACCAACAGCAATATTAGGTGAAATAAGATAAAGGACAAAGAAAAACAAAAAACAAAACAAATAGACAATCATCTTTGCATTCATTTTGACTACTTAAGCTCTGCTGGTGACAACCTGCAAATGAATGAAGACAATGGCAAACTAAAGCAAAATACTGAAAGAGATCTCAAGCAAGAATTGATTTAGACCCCTGTGTACTTACAACAATTTGCACCCAAGAGTCATGCTTGCAATAGAATGAAATGAATGATGGCAGCACATCTGTTGAGCCTTAATGATTTTTACCAAGTTTGCAGGTAACTTGCATGGACTTAAACTTAGTTATGGAAAAGTGAGAAGAAATTCCAACTTTCCATCGAACCAAAAGTTTCTAAAAAATTGTGTTGGACTCACATGTAGAGGTAGCCCAGTATAAGGGCTCCTATAAGGATAAGTAGTGAAAGCATCTTCTCATGAATATACTTGAGAGTTGATAAGGCACCAATCAAAAGAACCTGAGAAATTAAAAGAACTGTAATGAACAAGGCACAATAGATTATGGTTAAAGTAATAATTTTAGCTTAACTGCTGGCTGAAAGTCTTATTATTTCAAGTTACATCAGTCTTCATAAGCTAGCCTATTTGTAGTGACTTTGCCTCAGCAATTGAGTTCATAAGTTAGTCTGGGCTAGCGAATGAACTAAATAGCTAGGGTGAGCATCTTAAATTTATGCTGGGTTGACAGATGAAAGGGCCATGACAATTTCTAGGAAATTGGTACATAAAAATATAACTCTTTGAGCATGGAAATAGTAGCTTCCCTTTCTTCTCAAAATATTTGACCCATATAGCTCCAACTTATCCCATTTATTAAATATAGTGAAATATATCTTGGCTTAAATCACTAATTTTCCTAATCCCAAAACCTTTCCTCTTGTTTTTAGCAGCCTTCCATTTCGATATTGCCAGCTTATGCTGGCAATATCGAAATGGAAGGCTGCTAAAAACAAATATACTCATCTCAGAGAGAAAATACAATCATTACATCTCAAATGGAGGTCTAAAGACAGAGGGTTACTGATCATTCTTCCTGCAGACCAGCTTTAGATATTGCTGTCTACCAAGTGTGGTTTATTCATAGCCGATAGGGCAGTTAAATTTTAAGAAATTAAAAAAAAATGTTAGCAATACGATTTGCTCCCTGCTCAGTCCCAACAGTTGATCACAAATCACATATACTTTCCAAGCCTCAAATGACTGGGCATTGCCAGCTCGAGGGTTTTTCTTTCCTTTCCACATTGCTCAACTCGGTACAGTACAGTTCAGTACTGAGGAGGGCCACAAGAATGATCAAGGAGGTCAGGGGACTATCATATGAGAAGCATTTAGAAGTGTTGGGACTGTACTTGCTCGAACGAAGGTTAAGGATTTATCCTCATCCAGGCTTTCAAGATAATTAAAGGAATAGATCATGTCGAGTGTGGTAGGTTTTTCCAGTTTGATGGCAGCAAGAGAGTGAGAGGTAACCAACTTAAGTTGCATAAACTGCAGGTGCAGCTCAGGTCAAAACAGGAATTCTTTACTTGCAGAGTGGTGAACGTGTGGAATGCGTTAGATGACGACGTAGTGGCTGCCCCTTCTGTGACTATCTTTAAGAAGAAACTGGATGCTTTCATGGACAGGCAAAGAGGTGGGGGGCAATGTTGATGTTAGGTACTAGACAGTAAGCAACTAGGATAGTCAAAGAACAAAAAAAACAAAAAATACAAAAATATTTAGCTTTAAGAGGGTTAGGCCTACCTTAAAATTAAGGTACGCTCGACCTCGACAGGTGATATCGAAATGGGTGAAATCGCCTCTTGTATCACTAACTATCTTGAATCTTGAAAAAATCTTGAATAAAACTGTTCTTTCCTGCAGCCCAAGCCATATTCTGTTTGTTTTTTTTAGCGGCCCAAGGTATCACGGTAGTTTAGTGGTGTCAAGAGGCGATAACACCCATTTGAATACCACATGTCAAGGTCGAGCGTTCCTTAATTAGGCCTATTCCTCTTATAGTCAAATAATTTAGTACTTTCGTAATTTGCGATGGCAAATAAGAAAGATACAGAAACGATTAAGGGGAACGAGAATTAAAGTCCGGCGAATCGTTAGGCTTTCCAAAAATCGTAAAATATCCAACTCATGAAATAAAAATTAATTCCGTCTAGACGCACATTACAAATAACAGGTCTGCTTCAACCACGTGAGTGCGTACACGGCAATGGGAGCAGCCATCTTAGGATCATAGTGATGTCACACCAGACTAATTAACTTTATAAATTTTCTTCAGATTTCTTATTCAAGAGCGACTTGAACCGATTTCCTGCCGATATTTCTTTAGAAGGATCTTAATTGATTTTTTTCAGCCAGATATTTTTTAAATATTAGGGACCAAATGATAATGTGGTTATTGCGCATAGAACGCGAATCTGGTATCCGTGACATGCTTCTCATATATGTGGGAATCCCTTCCAAGGTCCGTCCATCCTAAGTTGGTTCTCGTGAATCAATTTAGTTTGTTTTTTTGTGGACCCTGACTTTAAACCGCTTAACCAACTTTCGATCATTGGGAAAAACGCAAGTAGGAGCAAGCTTAATCATAGGACTTAAACAAGGACATAGGGCTACGCTATATTAGGCCTTCTTTCCTCGACTCGGCATGTACCTCGTGGAGAACTCTCCATACTGCGTTATAGATGCTGTTGGGCCGTTTGTAGTGCTTGCGTTCGGCAAGGATTTTCGGGGAGGCAAGACTTTTGTAGACCCTGAGGTTGAACCTGCATAGAGCCAATCGAATGGGTGAATTGCTTCAGGACCCAGAGTCTCTTAAGTTAGCTTAATACCCAAATATTGGGAACCAAGAATTCACCATGCGCTAATTGCTAGTCATATTTTTGTTGTGATAGATGAGCACTGAAACTGAAAAACGGTGCGTACCAGATGGTAAAGGCCATAATGATGATGGTCCTGGTATTGATCATCATACAAAGGAGAAGTCTATAAAGCCAGATGTAAACTCAGTAGTTGGCTTAGGGGAAAAGGGTAATCCCAAGATGGATGATCCTGATGTGTTTGAAGACCTGGAGGCTCAATTGGCCGCCATGCACGGCATGGAGTTGGATTCGTCCGACTCTGCAATTCAGAGTGACTCTGACACGAAGAAAAAAAGTGGATCCCAGGATGATGGCATGCTGAAGCCCTCTTCTGAGGTAAGTCACGGCCTCCAAAAGAAGAAGCATGATTCATCACATCATCATCACCATCATGAAAAGCATGATGTTAAAAAGACAAAGAAGCCTCCAGAAGAGCCCAAAGTTGATGGTGTTAGCATCAAGAAAGTGAATAAAAGTTATGTACCCTCTGAAATCAACGGCAATTGTACAGATGTGCCTGTGTCTGAGAAGTCGGGATCGGAACTGAAAGGCAGAAAGAATTCCAAGCCAAGTGGTAGTGCTTCTGCCGAGAAGAGAACGGCTAAGCTGAGCCCAGTGACAGTGAACCAAAAGTCTAAATCTAGCACCAGTTCTCTAAAGGCAACTGGTAGCTCAGCCGCAAAGTCTAAATTGAGTGACAATGTGGACAAGTCAGAAGTGAACAAGGCAAACATTGAAAATGACAAGAACAAACATTATGTGAGTATGTGGAAGCCTCAAACTACTTCATCAGAGTTCTCAGAAATGGAGACTGACCAGAAGGAAAGCCCAAAGCTTGTGTTGAAACTGGTCACAAGTTCGACGAGCGATTCGGACAAGCCTGCCAAGAAGAGAGGGCGACCCAAAGGCAAGCACAAGTCTGACAAATTGTCCAATGCCATTTACCATGGAGAAGAGCATTCCTTAGATGTGAAAGAGCCTGCTCATCCCATCAAGAGTGATGGGATCTTAGCACCACATGTCAAGTTGGGTCAGCAGCGGGGAAAGGAAACCATCATTAATACGTGTGTCCCCACCCCTGCTCCTGATGTGCCGGCTCCGGAAGATACCAAGAGGGTGACGGCTCTTGCGTTCAGTGCAGCCGAGAGACACAAGAAGGCAACTCGAATAGGTTTCTCCAGTGATCGCCATGTGGACGACGGAGCAGATACCTCGTGGGTGTGTGCCTTCTGCTGCAAGGGAAGTCACTGGGGTGGAATGGGTGATCTGTTTGGACCATACACTTTGGACCATTCCAAGATTGAGCCCTTTGTATGGTGGCAGGCACTGCCCGCTTCATCGACGCCAAACAAACCGAAGAAGGCCAAGAAGAGAAAACTTGATGGTAGCACACCCGAGTCATCAAAAGTGAGTCAATTTTTTATGGTTTTCTCATAATGTTCTTGTGGCTGGATGGTATCATGTGAATCCTCACCTCACCCATTACAGGATGATGAGGCTGAAACTAAGCACCAAAAAGCATCAAAGAAGGATGTGATATGGCTTCATGAGGACTGCCTAGTGTGGGCTCCTGGGATCTGCTTAATAGGAACAAAACTACATGGTCTTGAAGAGGCCTTGAATCTATGCTTTCAAACAGTGAGGGAAACCTCTCACTCCATCTGCTTGATGTCAACAGAGTACTATGGGTTTTTCACAAAGTTTCACCAATTAATCTTGTTTCGTGATAGGTCTGTGTCTCATGTGGAGACCGAGGTGCATCTGTAGAATGCCTAGAGAAGAATTGCAAGGCAGCGTATCACATCCCTTGTGCATATGCTGCTGACTGTGATCTGGACGAGAGCACCTTTCACCTCCACTGTCCCCAACACAAGGTTTGTCCAAAATGGCTGTCTTGAATGTGGCTGTTTATTCTTATTTTTACAACTTGGGAGGTTGTGGTCATGATGATGTTGCATGTCCTGTTAATTGTTAAGTTCCTAGGTAGATCATGTGTCTGACTTGGATGTCAATATTTTCTTCTTTCAGAGAAAGCATGGGCTCTCAGGAGATGTTGGCCTTTATCCTCTTCCGCTCTTCCTGGAATGACACCCCCTTATTATTTTTCTCCCTCCTTGTCTGTGTTTATCCTCTGTTTTCTTTGGAATGCCTTGTCCCTCTTTGAGACAAGCATTGAGGATGTTGCTTCCCGATGTCCTCTCCGTTTGCTACCTGCTCCTCGCAACAGTAATATTCGGATCCTGCCTTGAATACCGAGTATCTTCATATATAGACTGCATAAGTTGCATGACCAGAATATTGGAATTTAAGGAAATTCTGTCATTTGGTCAGAATTGTGCTTATCGCATCTCATCTCTCCATCTGCTACCTTGTTTTGCAGAGTCAAGCCCCAAAGGAAGATGATTGATGTGTTGAACTAAAATGAATCCCCACTTTCTGCATGTAGTTGAACAAAACCTTGGCAGTAGGTAGCCTCTGCTGAAGGAGCTGAAGGATGACGACGTTGCCAGAAGAGGAACCATTTCATCTTGTAAACACTTCTCTGTATTGTGAAAATTCAAAGTCCAGCTTGTCCTGGAAAGGAAAGGCATAAGCACCTCTGAATCTTGCCTGCAACTACTTTGATTTTGTTCATCATTTAGTTTCTGTGTACTTGGATTGGTTCCCCTAAATCATGTGAATTTTGGCACAGGGACATCGGTAGCTCTCGTCGAAGGGAAAGCAATCATGGCAGAAGTAAGCTGAGTCGCTGAATGTGATCCTGCCTGTTGACACTGAATATTGCTAGGGACTTCATTGAAGTTTTTTCTCACACTGTAATTTTAGGGACAATTATTATGTTTCTTTCAGTAGGGGCCACCTTGTTTTGATTGAATGGTAGGCCTATATGTATTGTGTCATTTGTGCAGGGACGGAGGTGTTTCTTTACAGTCTTATGTGTTTGTATGGGCCTCATAAGAAATGTGTCTATTTGATAAAGTCATGTCAACTTCATGACCTGCTTAGTTATTCATTATTCATGACTATCATCATTGTGCGAAAAGGTAAATTTGTTTGCAGGATTGCATTTCTCCTGTTTCCCCCCTCTTTTCCAAACTCTGCATGTATTCTTCTGGCATTCACTGAAAAAAAAATTTCCTCAAACTTCATGCACCAGGGCCAGCCAAAAAAGTGGTTCTTAAATTTGAAAGTGGTGCAATGTGCAACTCACATTCATTCATTCGTGGAACTTCTGCCTCGTACTTCTGTAATGTGATGCTGCATCTACTTTATTGTCAACATATTTTGCATGGCATCACAGCCATGTTTTGATAGGAAAGGTTTGCATGAAATTTCACATGTTGGAAATGGCCTGCACATGGTATGAGTTTTGTGAGTCTCACACCAATGAGAATAAGCATATGTAAGTGAAAAGTGAGCTGTCCTCTTCACTCCCCATGGAATGGGGAGTGAAGAGGACATGGCTTGCCAGACTGTGTGCATGTCATTTTCGGAGCAATGCCTTTTTACACATTGCTGCTGCCCTCACCATGAACCATAACTGATTCATAGTGTGGTGCTTTCTCGTGATGTTTGCACTTGCCAGGTCTGTCTTAGTCAAACTTATAGTGATGAAGTCAAATTTTTGCTATTTATGTTCTTGTACACTAGGGGTATCAAACTGGTGGCATGTGGGCCAAATCCGGCAGGTTGGTTCATTTCACTAGTTGGTTTTGGAAAAGTGCTGAGGTTTTAAACTGTTAGTGTGGCCCCCAACCACCCCTTAAGGATTCCATCCAGCCCCCAGCTTAATCGTGTTTGACACCCCTATTGTATGCGGTTAGGTGCAGCTGCATCAATTTATGGCCCCCATGTGTTATGCAAATGTAACATATGTACTCATTCGTTGCAGCAACATTAGTTGCACAGACCCGACTCAATGTTGCAGGTTATTCACGCCGGGACGGGAAATTTAGTACCATACCCAGTACGATGAAATGGTACAGTTTGTGATGTACATTCCATTCTATAGGAGCTCTCACTACACTAATGACCATCGCAAGTTCCCGATCCTAAACTGACTCCCCTTCTGACTTCCGCAAAGGAATTAGGATAGATCGATACAAAAGACAACGTCTTGATTCACGCGTGTAGATTTCAGATCCCAAACGGCTCTCCAGTGAGATTCCCACGCATTCACCCATCCCCCAAATAAGGAATTTCGCTTCCTCCCCCTCCCTCCATCCCTCAACCAATCAAACGACTCCGTGAAAGCGGCCAGCCGGAAGGGTTATTATTTCGAAGGCCTCTGCTCAAGTCACTGCAGTCCCGCCCAGAGAGAGGGGGAACATCGAGTACAATCTGCCCCGGCCCTCCAATGATGGATGCCAAGGATCCAGTCATTCCCATTCGCACAGTAACCTCCAAGTCACCGGCCACAGCTCCGCCCCACACTCATCGTCTGCTTCTTGTCTTAGTCCGCACATCTTGTACTGCTCAGCACGATTCGTGGTGGATTTTGCCTGATTTCTCCTAGGCCTACTTGTATTTGCAACCGTAAACCAAACGACCCATCGAGAACAACTACTTGTATACTTCCTCAGTTGGCCAGATTGCTACGGTTTAGCTAGTAAGTCGGGACCTAATATTGAGCATGTTCTTGGCCTATAGCACCAAGCAAGGAAGTGCAGTGCGTGCGACTAGAGGAGAAGAGAAGGTATGTCCGAGAGCAGCAGGATTTTCTACCATTGCAAAAGTCAACCATTTATGCGGAAAGAAAGCGATTGCAAGCGTCACTGCGACGCCAACCACATTTCCACGTTTATCTCATCTGTTCTGTTCGGTAATCCGGTGATATGAGAAAGCAAAAGCGAAAGCAAAATTACTTACATGCTGGAATGATTGATTGTAAAGTGTAGCGAATCTAATAGGATGGTAATTATTAATACACCGAAGAGGCAAGAAAGCGGCACCGAGGTACGCCATCGGTACATCAGAAAAAAAAATTTTTTAATCCCAACTAAACCCACAATGGATATTCAAGGTGACACATGACCGAAAATATCGGTAAGAAACCCCCCACGACTTTCACCGAGTATTGCGACCCCCAAGACATTACTTCTCCGCATTTTCCGAGTCAAACCGCAACGAAAGGAAAGAAAGACCCTTCGGATATCGAAGCAGTTCAAAACGATGCAGAGTAGTCGGAAAGCCCCTTCATCGAGAGCATTAATTTCTTCGAAAGGATACCGATACAGTTTCCGGATCGAATTCGCCCCACTCATAACGGAGAAAACAAATTTCCAGAGGCTCCGCTTCACCAATAACGGACCACCCATGTATCACTGCCTGCAATCGGCGCATAGAGAGTGTAACTAGAGGCGACACTCCGAGGGGTAGAGGGGGGGTCGAAATATTACAGAGACATCTCGTCAACAACACTTCCACGAGACGTGCTTCGTGGCAGCGGAATCGGCAATCGACTCAATCGGGGATTCGACCCAAAGGGATCCCTCAACGTAACACGCGTGTCCCGTCGAGTCCGCTCCTCGGCCATGAAGGAATCGTTTATGCGCGCACGCTAGGTGGAGGATCAACAGTGACATCTATATTGCGACCCTGTCAATGAATGGGATTCGAGCGAGGTGTCGCATCCTGTTACACACTATGCCAGGGGTGCACGACATACGGCCCGCGTGGCCCTCTCCCGCGGCCCGCCACGACCGGTGCCGTTGTGCTACTACGGCTCCTGCCTTGTCGGCCACAGCTATGGAAGTAAGTCATAGGGGTAGATGCGACCCGCGGTAGGTGAATAAAAATCGTAAGTGGCCCTCACAATCTTTTGAGTTGTGCACCCCTGCTGTATGCTATAAGGGGGTACGAATTCAACAGTGTAGTGTTACGAGTGTCGCGGCAAGTCAGACGGGAACCTCCAACCACAAGGGCTCGGGAAGGAATGAATGGTCCTCGGCAAGACGTCTGGTTTTGTAAAATGCATCTTTTGATTGCGCATGCGCATTACACAGTTGCGCTCGGCTGCTCCGAATTCCAACTGCCGTGTTATCACAGGTTCGGTGTGTGCTTTACAATCACTCTTCGGAGGCTAATAAGATTATGAAGATACCAATCCCCGTGCAATAAGGTTGGAGGAAAATAGCGGTAGCGAGTGATTCGGACCCAGTCGGTCTCGCTCTCCCATGGCCTTAGAACATTTCAGGGAAGGATTCAAGAAGTCCGTCACTGTGCACCCTGAGCTTTTTAATCCCAATCATTATAACCAAGCCCAACCGAGTTACCAAGCAATCTTAAAGGACAATATAAGATACGTGGCACTACACTTCTCACGTCCCGAGGGTGAGCGATGAAGGATGACGAGACGAATATGCCCCTCACTTGCGGTTAGCCTCTAGAACAGTGGTGAGCGACCCGCGGGGGTTTGCCAACATTTTTTCGGTTTGCAATAATTTTTTTTTTCTCCTCTGTCATCTGCCATCCGGAGTAGAGCGCACGTGCGCTCAAGGATTCCGTTACCCACTGCAGGAGAAACGGAAGCAACAAGTAAAATATAAGTTAGCATCTACATGGTTTACTAGGCCAGGCATAGGATTATTTTGGTATTCAGCCTGTAATTCAGTAATAATAATAAATACAAATTAATAAATACATGCGGCCCGCAGTCAAAAAAGGCTCCTCATCACTCCTCTAGAAGACTTGTGATCAGTGACTTGTAATGTTGCTTGTATCCCCTCAACGCAACTGTGTCTGCCCGGTCTGAAATCCCCTCGTCACGACTGCTCTGAGTGACTGCCGTGGCTTGACTCCTCTTTTTATAGTTTGCCTTTGCCCTCGGGCTTATTCCAGGCCCATCACATTACGACAATCCCCTAGGTTCGAGGCTCAAATCTGGTTTTTACACAAAGAAGAAAAGCTTCCAGCGAGTTAGCTAGCTTCTTGTTCGAGTCCGAATGTTCGACCTTGCTCAAGATCCTACGGCGACAATCACCTAATTGAATGACTATTCCTGCTCATCTTTCGAATCGCACTAACTTAACATTAACTTGAAGAAATGCAACTGGAAATGCAACTGCATATGGTACATACAGGAGAGATTTTCGACAATAAAAAAAAAACACTGCAACCATTCATGCCTCGGTTCCAGTCCGAGCGAGAACCATACGAAGACCATGCGCCTGCAGAAGCAGACGACGAACACGGGGCGGAGCTGTGATCACGTGACCCGAGCAAACATCCAAGAAACCCAGGCAAGAACACCCGAGCCTGTCGGCGCATGCGCAGCATCATCTTCCCATTTCGCCGTCCGTTCGCCCGATCTCTCTTCAATCGATCTCGGATCGTCGCCTCTTCGGTGACGGAAACCCACCGGCGGTTGCTCAAAGCCTCCGCCACGTCGACCGATGGGAGGTGAACGTATCGCAAGTCGCGTTCACGCCCACGCACGAACTCCACGGCTCGCACATCTCTCTCATCGCCCAGGCCTGCAAGTTTCGCCGCAGCTCCTCTGTAATAAATCAATAAATTAAAAAATGAATCGGCTCGCCGACTGTCGGATTCGACCGTGCAATTCACTTCCCGATTTCAGCCAGATTTAGAACGAAGCTTTTTTCGTTTCGTTTCGTTCCTCCTGGTCGCAATGTGTTCCTGTTTCAGTTCCGTTCCAAGATGGTCAATTCCGTTCAGTTCCATGGAAACGTTCCGTTCCTGGAATGTTCATTGCATCCTTTTCAATATCTGGAGGGTTTTTATTTTCTTTAGTCTTATTCTGTTTGGGACGGGAAGATCGATAAACCACGCACGAGTCTGTTATTCATGCATTTAATTCATTTTATTTATATACTTGTTTATCACGGGTCTAAACGCGCAGATGAATGGTAGAAATGGCCTCAAAGTCTCATCTGGAAAGTCCCATTCCGTATCTTTTTAAAATCAAATTCAAGGAATTTCACTCTGTGGAATTGCAGACAAAATCAAGCCAACGTTTTTTGGATCGAAACGGAACGATTCCGTTAGTACTCAAAACTGGAAAGTAAGCCAAGGAAAAAAAAAAAACAGTACCGCGCTTGACGATCGTGTTTCTTTTCTATGATACTGATAGTACTGATCCAGTACTGAAGAAATGTGTCAGTCGAGTGCGAAGGCGTGCCGAGATCCACGTGGAAAAAATACTTTGAATATGCAAATCGGAAGAGTTCCGAGGAAACACGCGGGAACGCCGCCGACCGCGAGTGCGGAAACTACACCCACGAGTCGCGAAAAAAAAAAACCTCGCGCTTTTTGAAAGCGGGTCGGTGCATTTTCTCCGCAAAAGTCCGTTGGGCGTGAGATAAGGATCGGGCGGAAAGGTGGAAGGTGGGGGCGGGGTGGGGGGTGTGTGGGAGGTGGAGCCGCCCAACCGGAGGCAAGAACTGGGTATAAAAGCCGTTGCTTTCATCCGTTTGTCGTGCAGACCTGATCGACCGTCCACTCGGCGCGTCACCGAATACGCTACGCCTGGTGAGTTCTTTCCTTATCTTTTCTGTTTTGCTTTCTGGAGCCCCCTTTGGCCATTGGAACCGAGGGAACCGAGTGTCTATGTATAAGGGGCGTTCAAATGAAATATGGGTAACTCCTTCATCTAAGTAATTGAGCGATCATTGCGCCCTCACACAGGGAAACGGGTAAAGATGAGAAAAACCTCGATCAACACCAGCATCGGTCGCAAGTATCCACGTGAATGTGGTAGACCCCTCCAGTTAGACCCCTCGTATATGCAGTATGTGTAAGTGCAGTTCTCACATTTCACTGGGAGAAGCCTATTCTAGCACTAGCATTTTCCTGCTTCCCCTATAGTCCCCCCCCCCCCCCCCCCCCCCCCCCCCCCCCTTCATAGTAGCGTATTCGGTGACGCGCCGAGTGGACGGTCGATCAGGTCTGCACGACAAACGGATGAAAGCAACGGCTTTTATACCCAGTTCTTGCCTCCGGTTGGGCGGCTCCACCTCCCACACACCCCCCAAGGTTGCCATCCGTTCATAATTAGTATGGACAGTTCATATTTCAGATGCAATGTCCATACTGCAAACTTTTCTAAAAGTATGGATGAAGTAGTGTTAGTATTAACACTACTTCATCCATACTTTTAAACTTAGTATTTTTTTAAAGTTAATACTTAATTGCAGCACTGTTTTTCTTCGATCCAGAGTACTAATGCCACACTTCATTAGCATGCAGGTAATCTTTATATTAGTCCATAGACCATATTTTGCTCAATTCAAAGGTGACAACCCTTAGTCCGTCCCCCCCCCCCTATTTGCGTGCGTGTATTTTCGATCCCTTACCGCCAAGTACGAACAAAAGCCTCACGAGTCTGGAAGAAAAGGCATCCCCCACCTATCGCCGTCTGTACCATGCGTTTGACCTCGTCATCGGCGAGCCCGGCTCGAGCTCCTCTCTCGGATGGGAGTTCCTGCCGCACCCAAGGAACTCCGTGGACCTTGCGCCGGACGTTTTCCAGACCCGCCTCACAAAGAAAGTTCGACGATCACAAAAACCTGGAATGCCACTTGCGACAGTTCTTCGAGTCTTTGACCACATCTTTCTACCACGGCGGAATCCATTGCCTGGCTGGAATGTGGAATGAACACAATGGTGCTTACATTGTTGACTGATAGTGTGTAGTTGTTGAATAAAATATTTCTCACGAATAGTGCCTTTTTCCGGCCAACCCAATATAAGAATTAATAGAAATATAGCAATGTGTGCATCGATTTGTAGTAAATCGATACTGTGAAAGACAGCGGGAAGAACGATGGAAATTAGGCTTTGGAAGCCTCCAGTTCAAGTTGAAAGGAAAATTACGTCAATATAAGATGTGGACAATTAAAAAAAAAAAGGTAAAGGTTAAAGGCCCAAGATAAAGGTTACGCCATGTGTTACGTTACGTGCTCATTTTCCCCGCGCAGAACAGTTACTAACTGTAACAGAACGCTACAGGCGGTAATCGTAGCAGCACGTCTTTCGGGATCGGCAGGGAGACGTTCAAGAACAAGCAGATTTTTTTTATTTATTTATATATTTTATTATTTTATATTGTTTATCCCAACTCCAGTTTTAGTTTTGAAGACCGTCCTTCCACGATCGAAGATCAAACTACACCGAAGAAACTACACTGCCCGAAATCGCGATCATCCCCTCGAGATTATTCCTACTATCCCCAGATTATCCCTACCCTCGCCCGTTGCCCACATCGAGCGTCTCTTGTAGCATTTCTGCCGTTAATAATTTCAGCACTTCCCATCCGTTATACAGTGGTACCTCGCATAACGAACGCAATTCGTTCCAGCGGTGCGTTCGTTATGCGAGGTGTTCGCGAGTGAAAGTGAAACATTTTTTCCTAATTTCCTTGATTTTTCGCGGCGACGTGAAACGGATTACATGATTTCCCATAGACGTCTATGGGAAATCGTGTTTCGCATAACGAACGCACCGCTGGAACGAATTGCGTTCGNTGTTCGCGAGTGAAAGTGAAACATTTTTTCCTAATTTCCTTGATTTTTCGCGGCGACGTGAAACGGATTACATGATTTCCCATAGACGTCTATGGGAAATCGTGTTTCGCATAACGAACGCACCGCTGGAACGAATTGCGTTCGTTATGCGAGGTACCACTGTGTTTGGTTTCCCATTCGTTGGTAAGCTTTTGAAATGGGGTCGCCCTGCATATTTCATCGTAAATCGATGGCGACTTTGAATATGCACCAATGAGGCAGTTTTCTAACCTATTTTCGTGTCAAACAAAAACTTTCCTCGCCACTGTTGCCAATGGAAGAATATAAAATCTGGTTGAAAATGATTTCAGTGGTTTAAACTAATTTATACTAGTTGAAAAAAATTGAAAAATTTAAAGGTTGGGTTGAAAATATGGATGTTGAATTTATATTTCGTCACTGCAAATTGTAAATAAATATTAATTTCCCCAAAATTCCTGACCGTCATCTTACATCCCATGCCCATCCCCGCTGTTAGTGTAATCCCCTGCAATCGAGTCTGATGCAGAGGAGCAGGCAAGGAAGGGAAAGGAAAGCCTCGCAAGTCGGTCAAGGTCGACACCTCGTCACGCACCTGCCTCCAGGGCTGGGGAGCCTATGTCCTCCGATAAAAAGACCCGAAAGGGAAAAAATTGGCAAATCAGTCTTTGGACAATTTCCTTTTTTTCTCCTTGGCGCTCTGAACGGCACGTCGTGTTTGTCAATCTCGCACACGCCACAGAGCGGCGTGTGCGAGATTGATCGTAACACCGTAGTTACGGGCAGCACCCGGATGATGCAACCCAACTCGACATGGCGGCTCGCATGCACCATAGTGACAGAATAATGCACACACCATGCGGATCCACGAGACGATTCGTTTCCCCTTTTGCCTCCTCGTCTTCCTCGCCCGCGCTCATTCCCAACTTCCGAAAGCGGAACCGGAGTTGAAGTCTTCCGAAGGGCCACCCGTTGACGCCGAATCGAGGGACCCAGTCGTGGACGAGGCCTCGGTGGAGGTCGACTGTAAGGAGGAAGCTGGAAACCCCGCCAATCCTTGGTTCAGGGCTTCCCTGCACAAACTCCCGCTCTATCAGAGACATCTCGGGTCGGGCGACGGGGTGGGTGGAAGATGTTTCGGCAAGAGGACCCCAGCTCAGATTTTTAGTTCGGGCATTCCTCTTGGGAAAAGTCATTCCGTGGATGAATCCGTCGTTGAGTCGAAAGAAACCAAAACCCGAAGTGAAATCGATCCTGTGAAATACCAAATCGTCAAGGAGACTGCAGTGGAAGAGAGGCCCTTGACATTTTATCAAGCTGCAGATGTGGTAAGCTTAATCTTTTTTAGATGTCTCTTTCCTGAATATTTCCCTCATCTTTTAACAAAGCCTTTGTCATCTACATCAACATACCCAGCAGTTGCTAAGCAGTCACAGTTGCAAGCTCATATTATTTTTCATTCATCAGTTCATTCAGTTCTGATGAGTATTTAGTCTTTGATACACTGGAAGGAGACAGCTGCACTGTTTGAATCGGCCTGATAGTCACCATTGTATATGATGGTCTATCCCAAGTAGTACAGGGTGTCCCAGAAAGGTTTTTAATGTTTGAATTAGCTGAACCTTACGTATATTAATAGTCCCATCAATGTGAAATGAACACAAAAGCACTTAGACCTGACATGGCTTCTTGATGAAGTCCCCCCAAATGTCCACTGTCACATTCTATTATTTCTTTCGAATTTAGTACAGTCACTTGGGAAAGTCGATTTATTTGAAGCAGACCACATCCAGGGGCAATGTTTGGAAAGCAGAAAATGCTGATAAAAAATGTAATTGCAAATAGCAAGTTTTCCATTTTGTAAGATCAGAGAAGCCATTCAATGTGTCCACATTTTCCTATCCACCTGCCTTTCAAGTGTTGGATGTTCAGTGCAACGAGAAAAATTTTAGGAATTTTTTTTAAATGTACAATTTACCTATGTATTTCCTATTTTTTGCTTGAAAATTCCTAAAGAAATACCAGTTCAAACATTAGACATTTGGACTAAATCGATTCAGCATAAAATTTAATAATAAAATTTCCAAAATAATATTCAGTGTCAGTCAATGCATGAAAACATGTTAGGCTAAATTGAATAAGCTTAACTGGTCCATATGTACCAGGTGTGGAGAAAACAATTAGTTGAGGAAAAATCCAGGAAAAAATTTAATTTACAAAAAGTAGGCCATACCTGTTGGAATGTCTGCAGTTCTTGCATTTACCAATTTTCAGATGTAAATATTCTAACAGCAGGACCTTCTCCTCTGCATCCAGTTGACTTAGGCTTAGGAAATCAGAACTGGAAGTCTGTTATTAGGCTATCAATATTGGTCAAGTATTAAGGTATTGAGGCTGGATAGTTGTATCAGGAGAAGATCACTTCCATTTGGGTACCACATGTTGAGGACAAGTGTTCCTTAATTTTAGGGTAAGCCTAATCCTCTTAGAGCTAAATTTTTTTTTTCAGCATATCCCAGTTGCCTGCTGCTTAGTCCCTTTTGTCTACATTGCCTCCCTCTTTGCTTGATCCAAATAAGCATCTTCTTATAATAGTCATGGAAGTATGCTTCCTAGAGTCGGTTTCTACCCTGGTTGCATCGGCGTAACCTTGTGACTAACATACTTATTTCCCATTTTGCAGTCTGCTGATTCAAAGAACTCAGCAATTGTTCCTGAAGACATACTCCTTGTGTCTACTCTGGAAGGATCCCTCACTGCAGTTGGAAAGGACACTGGTGTAGTGAGGTGGAATCTTCGAAATGGTCAGTTTTGCATTGAAGAGCCTTGATGTTCCTTTAACTATTATATTTCTTGGAATCATATGTGATTCTGTTTATGTAGAAGCAACAAATCTAAATAAGAATTTGAATGTTAATCAGGGTCCCATTCTTTATCTTCCAGATCCAGTTGTCAAAGTTCCTTCTGAAGCAAAGACAAGTCAGATGTAAGTCTTGGCCTACTGTTTATAGCAACAAAGCTTGAGTGATTCATTTGATGGGCAATGTTCATTTTGTAAATGAAGGCAGTGAGAGGGCTGATTTTCTTTTATCTCACAATGTGAATTGACATTTCAGCCCCAGCTTTCTGCCAGATCCAAAAGATGGGTCCCTGTATATGCTGCGGACAGGGAGGAGCGGGAAGGAAACCCTAAAAAAGCTTCCTTTCACTATCCCAGAATTGGTCTCTGCTTCTCCAACTCGGACAACTGATGGCGTCCTGTATTCTGGTGGGCAATGTGTTTGATCATGGTAATTTAAATTAGGCCTTTATATCTATATATTTGTAACACATTGGAATTGGGTTTTCCAGGGAAAAAGGTGGACAAATGGATTGCCATCGATGACAGAACAGGGCATGCCCAAGAGGTATCGAACTTTGCCAATGAGGTTTGTCCCTTTGATGCCAAGCACTCCCTTCTTGTTGGTCGCTCTGGTAAGTGTAGTCCCTACCTCTTGCCTAATCTTTATATATCTTTTCTTTATAAATTAGAAAGTTCTTCAGAGGAAGTTTTTTCTTTGCAGACTATACTATCATGGTGCTGGACAGCCATAATTACCATCAGTCATGGAATCTGACTTTTTCTGACTACTCTGCCAATGAAATGACTGCACCAATGATTGAGGATTATGGTGAGTTGCAGTTTTCAGTATGTACTTTTTCACATAGCCAGTGTTAATGGTTATCTTTTTTCCCATTAGATTTGACCCACCTTGCTGGTAGCTCTGATGGGTATCTGTTGACATTGAATCGAAAAGATGGAAAGTTGCAGTGGAAGAGAGACTTCCTGTCACCCATTGTTGCCATCTACCTCATCCAACATGAAGGGCTTTTAAGAGTTCCTTTCACCACGTTGGCATCTGACATGCTGTCCGGCATCATCTCGCGCCTCTCTGTAGATGTTTGGAAAGCAAACTTCATTGGAGAGAGGAAACTCCTGTTGGTCCTTTTCTGTTGCATCTGCATCTTCATGAACCCACTGATTTGTAATAGGTTTTTTTTATTATTTCCAAAAGGCCCACCTTGTATATCGGGCAGTCAGAGCATGGTTTGTATGCGCTGCCTGCCTTTGTGGATGAATCAATAGTGGTGATCAGTTTGGGCCAGGTGCACCCTCATGTACCCCTCATTGAGGGGCCAAACAATACTGAAGAAGAGCTCAGCCTATCAAAGGAAAATACAGCACAAGAAAACCTGACTAATCAGAAGTTGGATTGGGTTATCTTTGGTAAGAAGAAAGGATTACTGATGTTTTTTTTGCTTATATTTGTTACTTGTTCCCAACTTGAGTCAATTGGTATTTCATTCATCTTTCACCTGCAATGCTTCTCAGTAATAGGAGAACATGGCATAAATCATTTCTCTAGTTACTGTGCAATTGATTGATGTGCAAATCAAGTTTTGAACATGGACAATTCTGAGGTGATTTTTTCTCATTTGTCTATGATTATGCACTTCATGATTTTATCTCTTGGTGGACTTCCATGTGGAGCTTGGTTTGCCTTAATGATTCTCATTTAAAAGTCACCAACATGCAAAATATGCAAATATCAGTAATTCAACCTGACTGTCTCACTGTTCTCTCTCTTTGCTCAGGTTAAAACGCCACAAATTATTACATTTTAAATAATAAAATGTATCTTACAGTTCACAGTAATATGTTCATGTGACTTTTTTTTAATTACATAGGTCACTATGAAATGCCAGACTTCCTGCAACAAACCATAGGCCCTGCTTGGCAGATCGAACAGAAGGTCAGCAAAGTGATCGAACCAAGCCCAAAATTGATACAGCATCCAGACCGAGACCGATATGATCCTCTGTGGGATGATGTTGTTACTGCCTGGATGCAAGTCAGGCATGGGAATTGGAGCTTCCTTTTTTCCCATGACTTCCTTTCAGCCTCATGGAGTGCAAGCCAAGTTTTCAAAGTCTGGCTCTGGAACCAGGAGAACATAGGCCTGAAGATCATCGTTGCCCTCCTTATCCTTTCAATGGCCACAATGTTCCTCTATCTCTACCCACTGGTTGGTATTCATTCATTCATTCCTTCCTTTGGATGATTCTCTCATGAAAGCATTTCAACTTAATTGCTATTGTTATTGTAATGAAGGGACTCCCTGCAAATCTGTCAAGTGTGTGGGTGTGGGGCTTTGTGAGCACATTTGAGTATGTGTGGGGGGAACTAAAGACCTAGCAGTATCTGTTTCCATGTTCAAGGAAACCATGTTGCCCTATCAGGCGTTCAATGTTGTTATAGTGAGAATAAGATTACAATCATGAGAGACTTGTATTCTGACTTGTTCTGCTGTTTCTATTTTGTCCTCAGTCCCATTTATAACTGCATTGTTTGGCATATTGAAGGGGTATGTGTGGAACAGGTTGAGCTTTTGAACTGTGGATTTTGAGATTCATGATTATAGAAACAAAAAGTTTAGGCAATAATTTTTAGGGAGATTTCAAGGGGATTTCAAGTACTCTGACTGCCTCCAAAGACCATCTACATGAGACAATCTAATTGAGGAGAACTATTTGTTGCCTGCCAATAAGCGCTAAAAAGTTCAGAAGGTGTGAGATAAGTTTGCTCATCTATATTAGGCTCGAGAATTCCATCGCCATTCCTCAAAGAGGGGCTCACGATCAGCTTCCCGTGGTTTGTCTTGGTGGAATGATGGAGCCATTACTGCCATTGCTGAAGAGGTTGAACCTGGCAAGATCAAAGTGGGAAAGATACTTTTTTTCTCAAGTCATGTCTTGGGCAAAGGTTGTGATGGCACCTTTGTGTACAAGTGAGTTTTTTGCCATGTGCTCATAATATTTTGCACTCACACTAGAG